CGAAGGAGTTCGTGGGGTGGCTGGCAGAGCGGAGCGCCGCTATGGAGCTATGGGGCGGTCAGCTTCAGATCATGTAAGGTGCCTCTTACCCCCGTCCCATTTCCACCCAGGTTGGGAGGTAAAGCTCCGCAGATAAACTTTCGAACTCTGGGGCTGCCCTGACCAGGGACAGAGACTTTTTGGGGCATTGGACTTTTGGGACTTTGGGTGATTTGGGGTTGCTGGACTCAAGAACCAAAGGGAAAAGGGCATGCCCCAATTTGCTTGGGGTGGGTTTTTTTTGCTCATGGGTTGTGTTATGAATCCTGTTGGTGGTGTTTCCCCAACATAATGCCACATTGTTTCTCTCTGTTATTAAAAGGCTTTTGCTACACTCAGACTATGTGCTTGCGAGAGGGGAAGTATTGCCTCTTGGAGGCGCCCAGCGGGGGTGGTATATATTTGTCCCAGGTCACTGGGTGGGGGCTCGAGCCGGTTTGCATTGTGTTATTGGAATGGATCCCCTAGATATTGAACCCGGCCCTTGTGGCTGCCAACTCTGACGGGCAGAAGGGTTACACTGTATATCTTTGTAATATATTCCTCCCCTCACCCCAGTCACTCCAAACACTATAAGGCATCTCTTCTAAGTAAGGCCAACAAAACAAAACAAATTTTGTGATTTTAGCCCACCTATTTTGGAGAGATGAGCAAAAATAAACAAAAACATTTCTGAAAAAGTCAATAACAAGGACATTTTAGACAACGGAGCTGAGCCTTTTCAAAGGCATGTAGGAGATTTAGAATCACAACTCCAGCTGATTTCAATGGGAATTGTGCTTCTTAGTTCCCTAGGCAGCTTTGAAAACCTCAGCTTATAATTTTAATACTATTTTTCTGTTTTTCCCCCCAAAATTCCCTGAAAAACTCTATCGGAGTAGGAAATATGGTAGTGAAATTTCAGAATGATTAGTTACTCTGGAAAAAATTCATGTATGTAGGTTGAAAATTGGGCTTGAAAAGTTAGCTTCAACTGCTCCATAATAAATAACAAAACCAAGAGACAAATAATTAAATCATTAAAGTTTGCTGGCATTTCAATTTGTGAAGTTATTCCCAGGACATGAATTTAAATCCTTCTGAATGTGTTTTTAAAGGTGTCCTAAATCAGAAGAATATAAAAATCCATAGTTTGAGCCATGACCATTATATTTCAAACACTTCAGGTATGTGATAAAAATAAACAGCTTGCCTTGGTCAGTTCAAACTAATTTTGTTGCATTAAGTAAATATGCCAAAGGGGGTTCAACTATGAAGCATTTCGAAGACATTATAAAAAAAAGAATACTAATGAAAAAAAATGTTAAAAATAGAAAAATTAAGTGAACTCAAATTTTCAAAGTGGAAACATAATTTTTAGTGACCTTCATGGAAGCTGCAAAAGAAAATTAGCTGTCCCACGAGGTACTTGTTAGTGATTACTGAGCTAAAGAATGGGAGGGAGCAAACTTTTTGGAAATTTTGCATTTCATTTTATTATTAGCTAGTCTTTAAAATTTGATTTTTTTGTAAAGAACATGGTTAGGAAGGAGAGTGTGAGCTTGAGGGGACGGGCAGGCAATGACAGGGTTGGGATGGGCAGGGGAGGGGCAGAGTGTGAGGGGACAGGGCCGGTAATGACAGGGTTGGGATGGGGAAGGGAGGGTCTAAGTATAAGGATTTGGGGCAGGCAATGACAGGCTTGGGTGCAGGAAGGGAGGGGGCAGAGTATAAGGCAAGGACAGGCAATGACAGGGTTGGGGTGGTGAAGGAATAGTACTGAGTATGAGGGGCAGGGCATGAAAGGCCTTGGGCACTGAGATCAGGGGTTCGGAAACAGGGTAGAGTGTGATAGGTAAGGTAACCAGGTGTCCAGCTTTTTACCGGAACACCCGGTATAAAAAGGACCCTGGCGGCTCCGGTCAGCACCACCGAGCAGGCCGTTAAAAGTCTGATCGGCGGTTCTGCGGAGCTAAGGCAGGCTAGTCCCTACCAGCCCTGGCTCCGTGCTGTGCCCCGGAAGTGGCCAGCAGGTCCAGCTCCTAGGCAGCGGGGCCACGGGGCTCCACACACTGCACCTGCCCCGAGCACTGGCTACACACTCCCATTGGCCAGGAACCACAGCCAATGGGAGCTGCGAGGGTGACGCCTGCGGGGGAGAGCAGCGCGCAGAGCCTCCTGCCACGCCTCCGCCTAGGAGGCAGACCTGCTGGCCGCTACCCGGATGCAGCGCGGTCCGCAGTGCCAAGACAGGCAGAAAACCTGCTTTAGGCCCCCCGCTGCGCCGCTAACTGCTTAGCCCCCACCCCCGCTGCACCCCAACCCTGAGCCCTAACCCTCCACAAACCTGGAGCCCCCTACTGCACTCCAAACTCCTCATCCCCGGCCCCACTCCAGAGCCCAGAGCCTGCAACCCCAGATGGAGCCCTCATCGCCCCTGCACTCCAACCCCCTGCCCCAACCCAGAGCCCACAACCACAGATGGAGCCTTCATTCCCCCTGCACCCCAACCCCCTGCTCCAGCCCAGAACCCCCTCCCACACCCTGAGCTCCTCTGCTCCATCCCCAGCCTGAAGTCCCCTCCTAAGCCCCTCCTCCCCAGCCCCAACCCAGAGCCCACACCCCCAGATGGAGCCCTAACCCCCCCTGCACCCAACCCCCTGCCTCAACCTGCAGCACCCTCCTGAACCCTGAACCCCTCATCTCCATCCCCACCCAAGAGCCAGCACCCTCTCAGCCAGAGCCCTTACCTGCCAGCCCCTGTCCCCTCCCACTTTGCCCCCTCCCCTCCCCAACCCTGTCAGTGCCTGCCCCGTCCCCTCCCCCTCTGCCCCCTCCCTAACGCTGTCAGTGCCTGCCCCCTTCCCTCCCACTCTGCCCCCTGCCCTCCCCAACGCTGTCAGTGCCTGCCCCGTCCCCTCTCACTCTGCCTCCTCCCCTGTCCTCCCCAACCCTGTCAGTGCCTGCCCCCTCCCCTCTCCAACCCTGTCAGTGTCTGCCCATCCCCTCCCCAACCCTGTCAGTGCCTACCCCGTCCCCTCCCCTCTGCCCCCTCCCCAGTGCTGTCAGTGCCTGCCCCGTCCCCTCCCCCTCTGCCCCCTCCCTAACGCTGTCAGTGCCTGACCCGTCCCCTCCCCCTCTACCCCCTCCCCCTCCCCAACCCTGTCAGTGCCTGCTCCGTCCCCTCCCACTCTGCCCTCTCCCCTCTCCAACCCTGTTAGTGCCTGCCCCGTCCCCGTCCCTTCCCCCTCCCCTCCCCAACCCTGTCAGTGCCTGCTCCGTCCCCTCCCACTCTGCCCTCTCCCCTCTCCAACCCTGTTAGTGCCTGCCCCGTCCCCGTCCCCTCCCCCTCCCCCTCCCCAACCCTGTCAGTGCCTGCCCCGTCCCCTCCCCTCTGCCCCCTCCCCCTCCCCAACCCTGTCAGTGCCTGCCCCGTCCCCTCCTCCTCTACCCCCTCCCCTCCCCAACCCTGTCAGTGCCTGCCCCGTCCCCTCTGCCCCCTCCCCAACGCTGTCAGTGCCTGCCCCGTCCCCTCCTCCTCTACCCCCTCCCCTCTCCAACCCTGTTAGTGCCTGCCCCGTCCCCGTCCCTTCCCCCTCCCCTCCCCAACCCTGTCAGTGCCTGCCCCGTCCCCTCCTCTCTGCCCCCTCCCCTCCCCAACCCTGTCAGTGCCTGCCCCGTCCCCTCCTCCTCTACCCCCTCCCCTCCCCAACCCTGTCAGTGCCTGCCCCGTCCCCTCTGCCCCCTCCCCAACGCTGTCAGTGCCTGCCCCGTCCCCTCCTCCTCTACCCCCTCCCCTCTCCAACCCTGTTAGTGCCTGCCCCGTCCCCGTCCCTTCCCCCTCCCCTCCCCAACCCTGTCAGTGCCTGCTCCGTCCCCTCCTCCTCTACCCCCTCCCCTCCCCAACCCTGTCAGTGCCTGCCCCGTCCCCTCCTCCTCTGCCCCCTCCCCTCCCCAACCCTGTCAGTGCCTGCCCCGTCCCCTCCCCTCTGCCCCCTCCCCAGTGCTGTCAGTGCCTGCCCCGTCCCCTCCCCCTCTGCCCCTCCCTAACGCTGTCAGTGCCTGACCCGTCCCCTCCCCCTCTACCCCCTCCCCTCCCCAACCCTGTCAGTGCCTGCTCCGTCCCCTCCCACTCTGCCCCCTCCCCTCCCCAACCCTGTCAGTGCCTGCCCCGTCCCCTCTGCCCCCTCCCCCAACGCTGTCAGTGCCTGCCCCGTCCCCTCCTCCTCTACCCCCTCCCCTCTCCAACCCTGTTAGTGCCTGCCCCGTCCCCGTCCCTTCCCCCTCCCCTCCCCAACCCTGTCAGTGCCTGCTCCGTCCCCTCCTCCTCTACCCCCTCCCCTCCCCAACCCTGTCAGTGCCTGCCCCGTCCCCTCCTCCTCTGCCCCCTCCCCTCCCCAACCCTGTCAGTGCCTGCCCCGTCCCCTCCTCCTCTACCCCTCCCCTCCCCAACCCTGTCAGTGCCTGCCCCGTCCCCTCCTCCTCTACCCCCTCCCTCCCCAACCCTGTCAGTGCCTGCCCCGTCCCCGTCCCCTCCCCCTCCCCTCCCCAACCCTGTCAGTGCCTGCCCCGTCCCCTCCTCCTCTGCCCCCTCCCCTCCCCAACCCTGTCAGTGCCTGCCCCGTCCCCTCCTCCTCTACCCCCTCCCCTCTCCAACCCTGTCAGTGCCTGCCCCGTCCCCTCCTCCTCTACCCCTCCCCTCTCCAACCCTGTCAGTGCCTGCCCCGTCCCCTCCCACTCTGCCCCCTCCCCTCCCCAACGCTGTCAGTGCCTCCCCCCCCCCTCCCACTCTGCCCCATTCGCTGTCCCCTCCCCAACCCTGTCACATCCCCACCCTGCTCTGTCCCCTCACCGCCCTGTCCCCACAACTCCCCTGGTCGCAGACCCTGAGCCTGATCCTTTGCCCGGCCCCGCCCCAGCTCCTTTCCTCAGCCCCGCCCCGCCCCTCAGCCCGCGCCCCCCACACCGCGCCTCCGCCCGGTGGCCTTTCGCGTTGCCCTGGTAACGGGGGAAGCCGCCGGGCCCGTCCAGCAACCGCCGCGAGGTGCGGGAAGGCGGCAGCCGGGGCGGACTCTCGGGTGCTGGGGATCGGGGGTCGCGCCCGCCCGCAGGAGCAGAGCGGCAGCCAGGCCGGGAGCTGCCTGCGTCCGCCCTGGGGAGCTGCGAGAGCGGAGGGATCCTGCCGCGAGGCGTCGGAAGCTGAGCAGCCGCCACAGCCCTGGGGTCTGGAGGCGGCGCCACCGCCAGCTCCCACCCGGCGTGAGCGTCCCCCGAGGGGTGTTCCCCAGAGCCAGGGCTCTGCCCCCTCCCCGTGCCCGCGCCGGCCTCCCCCCGACTGCTCCCGGCCCCCCGCCCCGTGCCCGCGCCGGCCTCCCCCGACTGCTCCCTGCCCCCCGCCCCGTGCCCGCGCCGGCCTCCCCCGACTGCTCCCTGCCCCCGCCCCCGCCTCCCCCGACTGCTCCCGGCCCCCCGCCCCGTGCCCGCGCCGGCCTCCCCCGACTGCTCCCTGCCCCCCGCCCCGTGCCCGCGCCGGCCTCCCCCGACTGCTCCCTGCCCCCCGCCCCGTGCCCGCGCCGGCCTCCCCCGACTGCTCCCTGCCCCCCGCCCCGTGCCCGCGCCGGCCTCCCCCCGACTGCTCCCAGCCCCCCTCCCCGTGCCCGCGCCGGCCTCCCCCCGACTGCTCCCAGCCCCCCTCCCCGTGCCCACGCCGGCCTCCCCTGACTGCTCCCTGCCCCCCGCCCCTGCGCCGGCCTCCCCCCGACTGCTCCCAGCCCCCTCCCCGTGCCCGCGCCGGCCTCCCCCGACTGCTCCCGGCCCCCCGCCCCGTGCCCGCGCCGGCCTCCCCCGACTGCTCCCTGCCCCCCGCCCCCGCGCCGGCCTCCCCCCGACTGCTCCCTGCCCCCCCCCCCCCCCGTGCCCGCGCCGGCCTCCCCCGACTGCTCCCTGCCCCCCGCCCCGTGCCCGCGCCGGCCTCCCCCGACTGCTCCCAGCCCCCCTCCCCGTGCCCGCGCCGGCCTCCCCCGACTGCTCCCTGCCCCCCGCCCCGTGCCCGCGCCGGCCTCCCCCGACTGCTCCCTGCCCCCCGCCCCGTGCCCGCGCCGGCCTCCCCCCGACTGCTCCCGGCCCCCCGCCCCGTGCCCGCGCCGGCCTCCCCCGACTGCTCCCTGCCCCCCGCCCCGTGCCCGCGCCGGCCTCCCCCGACTGCTCCCGGCCCCCCGCCCCGTGCCGGCCTCCCCCGACTGCTCCCAGCCCCCCGCCCCGTGCCCGCGCCGGCCTCCCCCGACTGCTCCCTGCCCCCGCCCCGTGCCCGCGCCGGCCTCCCCCGACTGCTCCCTGCCCCCCGCCCCGTGCCCGCGCCGGCCTCCCCCGACTGCTCCCTGCCCCCCGCCCCGTGCCCGCGCCGGCCTCCCCCGACTGCTCCCTGCCCCCCGCCCCGTGCCCGCGCCGGCCTCCCCCGACTGCTCCCAGCCCCCCGCCCCGTGCCCGCGCCGGCCTCCCCCGACTGCTCCCTGCCCCCCGCCCCGTGCCCGCGCCGGCCTCCCCCGACTGCTCCCTGCCCCCCGCCCCGGCCTCCCCCCGACTGCTCCCTGCCCCCCGCCCCGTGCCCGCGCCGGCCTCCCCCGACTGCTCCCTGCCCCCCGCCCCGTGCCCGCGCCGGCCTCCCCCGACTGCTCCCTGCCCTCGCCCCCGCCTCCCCCGACTGCTCCCAGCCCCCTCCCCGTGCCCGCGCCGGCCTCCCCCGACTGCTCCCTGCCCCTCTCCCCGTGCCCGCGCCGGCCTCCCCCCGACTGCTCCCTGCCCCCCGCCCCGTGCCCGCGCCGGCCTCCCCCCGACTGCTCCCTGCCCCCCGCCCCGTGCCCGCGCCGGCCTCCCCCGACTGCTCCCTGCCCCCCGCCCCGTGCCCGCGCCGGCCTCCCCCCGACTGCTCCCTGTCCCCCGCCCCGTGCCCGCGCCGGCCTCCCCCGACTGCTCCCTGCCCCCGCCCCCGCGCCGGCCTCCCCCGACTGCTCCCTGCCCCCCGCCCCCGTGCCCGCGCCGGCCTCCCCCCGACTGCTCCCTGCCCCCCGCCCCGTGCCCGCGCCGGCCTCCCCCCGACTGCTCCCTGCCACCCGCCCCGTGCCCGCGCCGGCCTCCCCCCGACTGCTCCCGGCCCCCCGCCCCGTGCCCGCGCCGGCCTCTCCCCGACTGCTCCCGGCCCCCCGCCCCGTGCCCGCGCCGGCCTCCCCCCCGACTGCTCCCTGCCCCCCGCCCCGTGCCCGCGCCGGCCTCCCCCGACTGCTCCCTGCCCCCGCCCCCGCGCCGGCCTCCCCCCGACTGCTCCCTGCCCCCCGTGCCCGCGCCGGCCTCCCCCCGACTGCTCCCTGCCCCCCCCCCGTGCCCGCGCCGGCCTCCCCCCGACTGCTCCCGGCCCCCCGCCCCGTGCCCGCGCCGGCCTCCCCCGACTGCTCCCGGCCCCCCGCCCCGTGCCCGCGCCGGCCTCCCCCGACTGCTCCCGGCCCCCCGCCCCGTGCCCGCGCCGGCCTCCCCCGACTGCTCCCGGCCCCCCCGCCCCGTGCCCGCGCCGGCCTCCCCCCGACTGCTCCCTGCCCCCGCCCCGTGCCCGCGCCGGCCTCCCCCGACTGCTCCCTGCCCCCGCCCCCGCGCCGGCCTCCCCCGACTGCTCCCTGCCCCCCCGTGCCCGCGCCGGCCTCCCCCCAACTGCTCCCTGCCCCCCGCCCCGTGCCCGCGCCGGCCTCCCCCCGACTGCTCCCTCCCTCGCCGTGCCCGCGCCGGCCTCCCCCGACTGCTCCCTGCCCCCCGCCCCGTGCCCACGCCGGCCTCCCCCCGACTGCTCCCTCCCTCGCCGTGCCCGCGCCGGCCTCCCCCCAACTGCTCCCTGCCCCCCGCCCCCGTGCCCGCGCCGGCCTCCCCCCGACTGCTCCCTCCCTCGCCGTGCCCGCGCCGGCCTCCCCCCGACTGCTCCCTCCCTCGCCGTGCCCGCGCCGGCCTCCCCCCGACTGCTCCCTGCTCCCAGAGAACCAGGTCCCTGCCCTCGTGCCAGTGCCAGCGACACCCTGACAGGTCCCTGCCCCCCGTGCCACTGCCAGCCTCACCCCAATTGGTTTCTGCCCCCCCGCCAGTGTCAGTGACACCCCGACAGGTCCCTGCCTCCCTGTACCAGTGCCAGCCTCACCCCGACTGGTCCCTGCCCCCACTGAGCCGGGACTGCCCTCCTCCTATGCCAAGTTCAGCATCACCCCGACTGGTCCCTGCTCACACTGAGCCGGGGCTGCCCTCCTCCTGTACCAGTGCCAGCCACACCCTGATTGGTCCCTGCACCTGCAGAGCTGGGGCTGCCCTCCCACCCCCATGCCAGTGTCAGCCTCACTCTGACCGGTCTCTGCCACCACAGAGCCATGTTCCTGCTCACATGCCTTGTGTCAGCCTTACTCTGACTGGTACCTGGTCCCTCAGAGTCAGTGGTGCTCTACATATAGTGTATAGTCTGATGTGCCTCTGCAGAGCCAAGGAGCTTGGCTGCTCTGCACCCCAGTGACACATTCACTCCAACTGGAGCTGCTCTACACCCTGTTTTCACTCCTCCTTTGATCCACCTTTACCAAAGTGCTGGGTCAACTCCACACCCCAGTGTTACTTTTCCTGTGTCTTGTCCTTCACTCCACAAAGATGAGGCTGTCCAAAACCCTATTGTCATGCTGCTGCCACCACCATGAATTCAGGGCTTCTCTGAATTCAGGTTTTGCACCCACTCCAAGTACTACCACCAAGAGTCCGGAGTTTCTTTTCAACATTAGTGTAACGTTCATGATCTTTCCGGCTCTCCATCATAGAGCCAGAGCCTGTGTGAATCAGAGTATCCTGTGAATCCAGGGATGCTCTGAACTAGGGCTGTCAATTAATTGCAGTTAACTCACACGATTAATTCAAATAATTAATCATGATTAATCACAGTTTTAATCGTACTGTTAAACAATAGAATACCAATTTAAATTTATTAAATATTTGCACTGTAAAAATGATAAAAGAAATAGTATTTTTCAATTCACCTCATACAAGTACTGTAATGCAATCTCTTTATCATGAAAATGCAATTTACAAATGTACCTTTTTTTTGTTACATAACTGTACTCAAAAACAAAACAATATAAAACTTTAGAGCCTACAAGTCCACACAGTCCTACTTCTTGTTCAGCCAATCGCTAAGACAAACAAGTTTGTTTACATTTATGGGAGACAATGTTATCCGCTTCTTATTTACAATGTCACCTGAAAGTGAGAACAGGCGTTCCCATGGCACTTTTGTAGCCAACATTGCAAGGTATTTACATGCCAGATATGCTAAACATTCGTATGCCCCGTCATGCTTTGGCCACCATTCCAGAGGACATGCTTCCATGCTGATGATGTTTGTAACAAAAATAAAGTTTTAATTAAATTTGTGACTGAATTCCCTGGGGGAGAATTGTATGTATCCTGCTCTGTGTTTTACCTGCATTCTGCCATATATGTCATGTTATAACAGTCTCGGATGATGATCCAGCATGTTGTTCGTTTTAAGAACACTTTCACGGCAGATTTGACAAAATGTAAAGAAGGTACCAATGTGAGATTTCTAAAGATAGGTCTAGCACTTGACCCAAGATTTAAGAATCTGAAGTGCCTTCCAAAGTCTGAGAGGGATGAGCTGTGGAGCATGCTTTCAGAAGTCTTAAAAGATCAACACTCAATGCAGAAACTACAGAACCCAAACCACCAAAAAAGAAAATCAGCTTTCTGCTGGTGGCATCTGACTCAGATGATGAAAATGAACATGTGTCAGTCTGCACTGCTTTGGATTGTTATTGAGCGGAACCCATCATCAACATGGATGCATGTCCTCTGGAATGGTGTTTGAAGCATGAAGGAACATATGAATCTTTAGCGCATCTGGCACATAAATATCTTGCAATGCTGGCTACAACAGTGCCATGCGAACGCCTGTTCTCACTTTCAGGTGACATTGTAAACAAGAAGCGGGCAGCATTGTCTCCTGCACATATAAGCAAACTTGTTTGTCTGAGCAATTGGCTGAAGAAGAAGTAGGACTGAGTGGACTTGTAGGCTCTAAAGTTTGACATTGTTTTATTTTTGAATGCAGTTATTTTTTGTGCATAATTCTACATTTGTAAGTTCAACTTTCATGATAAAGAGATTGCACTACAGTACTTGTATTAAGTGAATTGAAAAATACTATTTATTTTTACAGTTCAAATATTTATAAAAAATATAAAGTGAGCAATGTACACTTCGTATTCTGTGTTGAAATTGAAATCAATATATTTGAAAATGTGGAAAACATCCAAAAATATGTAAATAAATGGTATTCTATTATTGTTTAACAGCGTGATTAATTATGCAATTAATCACAATTAATTTTTTAATTGCTTGACAGCCCTACTCTGAACCCAAGTGTCAGGACTTCTCCAACTCATTGCTGCAGAGCTAGGACTGTGCCAAGCCTAAATTTCACACTCACTCCAAAAAGAAAAGGAGTACTTGTGGCACCTTAGCGACTAACCAATTTATTTGAGCATAATCTTTTGTGAGCTACAGCTCACTTCATCGGATGCATACTGTGGAAACTGCAGAAGACATTATATATACACAGAGACCATGAAACAATACCTCCTCCCACCCCACTCTCCTGCTATTACAGTCATACTCACTGTGAGCTATTCCACAGAGCTACTCCACAATTCAGGATGTGTGGGGTATTTGCAATTGAAAAGTTACAAAATTTAAAAAAAGTTGAAACACTCCACATGTAGTGAATGGCTTTATAAGTATACACATAAGAGTCTAAATTATTTTATTTCATTGTTTTCTTTTGACAGTTTAAAAGAACAATCTGGAGGGGGAAATGGAGCAGAAATTGCAAGTGTTGCAGGAACAATTTGTGGTTGGGTAAGCACTGACTTCTGTTTTGGGGGTTGGAGCCCTTAATGGAATTGAATTTTTGTTTTTTGTTTTTTTAAAGATGTAGAAGATAAGGTAGTAAAGTTTTAAGATAATTCTTCTCCCATACTCTTCATTGGTTTTTCTATGTATATTATGGAGAAGTAGTAGTCACTATTAGGTAGGGCAGTACAGCTCACTCCATGGTAATTTTAATAATCTGATGCCTGTCTGTCATTTATTTAAAATTTTAAAACTATTTTAATTTATATGGACAAAAGAAAGATGTGTAAGCTATTTTTGGAATCCCTAAGTATTTTCTTTAAATTGTTTTTAAAAAAAAAAACAGTTAAAGTTGCTAAGCAACAGTAGTATAGATACCTATCACATCATTTACAAAACCCAAGCTCTTAAAAGCAAGGAAATTAAAAGTTAAAGATATAATTAATCTTAGGTTGCCTACATAATAAACATAAGTACGTTAGTTTTATCAAGTATTAAGAAATGCATTTTTATCACAACAGAACAGTCTTAACTCTGACACAAAATAAATACCATAATTTCATCTGTAATCTCAATATACAACCTTTCTAAAGAAGACATATAAACACGGGCCAGATTGTGAACCTCTTAATTAGTTACTGACACAAATAGTATCATTTAAATCAATGCAACTTGTTGCAAAGCACTGTACTAATAAACATAAGGGTGGCAGAATCTAGCCCTACATATGTACACATTAATGAGACATTTATCAGCTTCAAATACAAGTCCGCATACATATAGCCAGACAATGGCCCATCCTGCTCACTGCTAGAAGGGAGCAGGGGGTCGTAAAGCATCCTTTTACTCTTTTCCACCAGTGCCACATACCTCTGCTCAGGGCCGGATTAAGACCTTTCGAGGTCCTAAGCACTGAAAAGATTATGGTGCCCCCCCATATGTAATTCAAAATAAAAACAATGCTATAACATAAAATAAAATTTTATTTTTTGAAATGACATAAAACTTACATGTATGCTGAAATTAAAATAGCTTCTTTCTAGATTTTCTGATTGCAAAATTCTGGATAAATTCATCGAAGCTGACTTGACGAAGCATGTCCACTTCCATACACAATAGGGAAAGTGAATCAAGTTCTGTCCTGACACATTGTTATTCTCTGAGGGTTTTTTATTCTTTGAGAAAAAGAGCGTTCTGCAGAGCAGTTAGTAATCATCAATGTTAGAAAAATATGTAGTACGATCTCTACATTTGGAAATACACATTGTATTCCCTCTTCATGAAGATCAATGGGACTGAATTTCATTTTTCCTGTTCCATTAAACTTTGCTTGCATATAACAGTGGAACTGCCATACTTCTCCACAGAGATTCGTGTTCAAGTCAACAGGGTATGAGTCAACTAGCTTCTGGGAACCTTGTGAATTTTGTTCATCCGATAAGTCCATATCGTTTAGAAAAGAAAATCTACTTGATACTTCTTTGTACACATCACCTCTCCTCTTCATATGAGCTTCAAGTATATCAGTTATAGCGTAGTAAGTAGATACATGAAATTTGTCTCTAGGATTCAATGCTGTTTCTGTTGCCCAGCTATCATTTGCTTGTTTTTTTCTGATTCGCTTGTGGGACTGGGCTTCTTTGTAGTTAGTATCAGGCAAGATATCTTTTGATATATCTTCAAATCTTTCGAAATCATTCCTCAAAGTGTACAAGTGGTCTGCTAATGATTGACAGAGGTCTGCACATGTTTTCAAATCCAATTCTTTTTCTTGGAGAGCTTGACTTGTGTGGTAAAAGTGTTGTAAAATTTCATTCTACATGGTCAACATGAATACAAATTCTAGTTCTTGCATCTTGTTTGCAATGTTTTCTGCCTCTTGTACAGTTTTTCCCTTTTGTGATTGGTCTTCAGCTCTACTTTCTAATGCATCCACAATCTTTGAGTAGGACTCCAGAATTACACTTGTTGCCACTGCATGTGCCTCCCAGCGAGAATTAGAAAGAGATTTCAACACACGATCGTTGCCCAAATATGTTTTAAGAACTTCCCATCGGTGTGCTGAGACCTAGAAAAATGTATAAAGTAACTGGACTGTTGAGAAAAAACTTACTGCCACTGAACAACAATCAACAGCACCGCGGCCAACAAGATTGAGAGAGTGTGCAGCACATGGTATGAATATGGCATATTTGTTCTGTTCTAAAAGCTTCTTCTGCATTCCTTGATGACGCCCTGACGTGTTGGCAGCGTTGTCATAAGGTTGACCTCTGCACTTTGAGAAATCTATTTTGCAAACTTGGCACAGATAATGCAGTACTTGATTTGCCATTTCTTCACCAGTGCGGCTTTTCAAATTGAGGAATGTTATAAATCGTTCAACTGGTTTTCCCTCTGTGGGAGACACATATCTTAGTACAATACTCAATTGATCAATATGTGAAAGATCAGGTGTAGAGTCGACAGATAAACTGAAGTACCCAGCAGTACTTATTTCATCCACAATAGCTGAACAAACTTTGTCACTCATCAGACCAATAAATTGATCACATATTGTCTTGGATAAGTATGATGGGTTACCTTTGCCAGCATTCCCATATTTTGAGATATGGCCTTTTAAAAATGGATCAAACTGAGCCACAAGCTCCAACAATCCCAAGAAATTTCCATTCTGCAATTATCCAAATGTGTCATTTGATCCCCGGAAAGGCAGACCACGTTCAGCTAATGTTTGAATAACATCTATAACACACTGCAAGACATGTTGCCCTTTAATTTGTTCTTCCAATTTTTGTGTCAATCCAAAGCCCAGTCTTTGATTTAAGTATGTCAACACTGAATCTCTGTGAGTAGTGCTATTTTCATGTTGTTCAATTAAAACAGTATTCCGCTAGTCACTAAATCCATTTGCAGCAAACCGGGATGTTGAAGGTTTATGTGCAACAAAACAGTTCACGGACCCTGTTGATGGTGAATACAGTAGCCATTCTCGAGTGCATTTCTCACCATTTGCTTTCATGCCGAAAAATATTTTTTGTGGACATATCTTGTTTGTTTGCCATTGGTAAAAGTCCGACGTGATTTCTCAAATGGCCCAGTGTGGTGTTGACAGTCATTTGGTCCATGATCTATCCAGTAAGCTACATCATCAGTACTGAAATCAACCCACATACCGGGATCCTTTCTCCTGTTATTTACAGCATGAGCAGATTCAGTCTCTGACACATCCACACCTTCTAGAACAATGTCTGTTTTACCACCAGCAGTAGGATGATCAGTTACAGTCTCAGACACATCCACATGTTCTGGAATGGTGTTTGTTTCACCAATAGAAGAAGGGTCAGTCTCTGAAACACCTACAGGTTTTGGAACGATGTCTGTGCTGCTGAGAGAAGATGTTGCTTTTGATGGATTCGCTTTGAAAAATGATGTCAGCTTTGGAAGATTTTGGAAAATTTCACTAGTTTTTTGCTTCTTTTCTTCTGCCAGTTTACGTTTCTGTGCTCCACTCGGTTACGTTTCATCTTTCCCCTTATCTCAGTTATCTGAACTTAAAAAAAAAATTACACAGTGTACACTATTTTTATGTGTATATATATATAATATATATATATATGAGAAAAAAATGAATCAAGTATGTATAACTCAGAAGAATATATCAATAATAAAACATAAATTTATTGCAGTACATGACAGGATCTGATTTCCTTGCATTATTTCAATCTACGTTAGTAGGATGCCCCCCTGGTATTGGTGGGGATAAGTAATAAAAAGAGAACAGAAAAATGGGGGAAGAGTGTGTAGTGGAGTGTAAGGAAGTCTAACAAAGTTCTGATTTTACTAAATGAGAGATGATAGGTAAGGTAGGGATAGGTCATGAAAGACCTGAAAGTGAAGACAAGAAGCTTATGTTTTATACAATAGAGAAGAATGAAGTAGTGAAGGGATTCAAAAGAGAGGGTGACATAGTTAAAGTTTGCTAATCTAATTCTGACCCAATTCTGACCCAAAAGTTGTTACAATATGAAAGATATTTTGTGGTTTATGTAGAAAGCTGAATTGGTATTCATAGTGGAAAGTTGTCCACAGTACAAACCACTATCCAAAGCTGTCATTTTTGTTGGAAGATTTAGTACAGAAGCCTGATGAAAAATTACACACGGAGGGTGTGGAAAGATGGGATTTAAGCAGAATAAAGTAAACAACCTACACATAAACACTATTTGCTTTTTCTGGTGCAGCCCCTCCCTTCCATTCGGTCATCATGTAAATTACATCAATTTACTGATGTGGAATTTACTGCATAATTTAAATGTGTTTTGCCCTGGTTACCTCACAGCCTCTCTCTCTATGTGATACCACACTATATGGGTTCAGCTGAGTTGCTGAATCTAAACAGCTCATAGCTTTATCCTACAGAGATTGTTGGCACAGGAAGTTTTCAGTAAGGGGGGGGCATCTCAATTATAGATTCATAGATTCAAGGCAGAAGGGACAATAGTGATCATCTTCTCTTTCCTCCTGTATAACACAGGCCATAGAACAGGGGTGAGCAAACTACGGCCCGGGGGCCACATCCAGTCCTCCAGACGTTTTAATCTGGCCCTTAAGCTCCCACCAGGAAGCAGAGTCCAGGGCTTGCCCTGCTCTGGCGCTCCAGCCGGGGAGCGGGGTCGGGGTCTTGCCTCACTCCGCACGGCTCCCAGAAGCAGCGGCACGTCCCCCCTCTGGCTTCTACGCATAGGGGCAACCAGAGGGCTCAGCATGCTACCCCCGCAGCTCCCATTGGCTGGGAACTGCTGCCAATTCGAGCTGCAGGGGCAGTGCCTGTGGACAGGGCAGCACTGTTTCTTGGAAATGCTTGAGGTAAGCCTGCTACCCTGCCCCCTCCCATGCCCCAGTCCCCTGCCTCAGCCCTGATCCCCCTCCCGCCCTCCGAACCCCTAGGTCCCAGCCTGGAGAACCCTCCTGGACCCGCAACCCCTCATCCCCATTCCAGAGCCTGCACCCCCAGCCGGAGCCCTCCCGCCCTCCGCCCCCCAATTTCATGAGCATTCATGGACCACCATACAATTTCCATACCCAGATGTGGCCCTCGGGCCAAAAAGTTTGCCCACCTCTGCCATAGAACTTCCCCAAAATAATCCCAGAGCATATCTTTTTGAAAAATATCCAATCTTGATTTAAAAATTTGTCAGTGATGGAGAATCCACCATGACTCTTGGTAAATTGTTCCAAGGGTTAATCATGCTCACTGTAAAAAATGTACACCTTATTTTCAGTCTGAATTTGTTTAGCTTCAACTCCCAGCCATGGGATCCTGTATACCTTTCTCTACTAGATTGAAGAGCCCATTAGTAAATATTTGTCCCCATGTAATTACTTATAGACTGTAATCAAGTCACCCCTTAACCTTCTCTTTTTAAACTACATAGATTAAATCTATCCCTATAAGGCAGGTTTTCTAATCCTTTAATACTTCTTTTGGCTATTCTCTGAACCCTCTCCAGTTTTTCAACATCTTTCTTTAATTGTGGTCACACTACTCCCAGCAGCAGTTGCAGCAGTTGGGGGTGGAGAGGGAAATAGTTTTACTTTGTGTAATGACCCATCCACTCCCAGTCTCTATTCAAGCCTAAGTTAATTGTATCCAATTTGCAAATTAATTCCAATTCAGCAGTCTCACGAAAGCTTATGCTCAAATAAATTTGTTAGTCTCTAAGGTGCCACAAGTACTCCTTTTCTTTTGTGAATACAAACTATAAAAAAAAACCACGGCTGCTACTCTGAAACCTGTCATATTACATAGATGCTTAAATATGGGGTTTGCAGTAGAAGCCACAAAAGACATGATGAAAACCCTAGAAGGCACAATACCCCAAGAAGTATATGAGATGCGACAAACAGTAAAGGAGAACAGGTGGCCAGGATATCATACCCATATTGAAATGCATTTACTTTTGGAAAAAGCATGCGCGACTAAAGGAGCAGTGCCCTGAGCTAGGGCAGCATTGCATATGGCAATTTGAGCCATTTTGTCAGTGTATGCAAGAGCAGAGGAAGGTTTCAAAGATTCAGTCAGATTTGTACAAAAGGGAGGTAGACAGCAGTGATGACATCATGACTCTCTCCTTGAGTCCAAGAGCATATCAGGTTCAGGCTGTTTGGGACACTAAGGAAACAAAGGACAGCACCAACCTCTGTGCATGCAACTCTGTTAATAGTGAATGCCCTCTGCAATTTCAGCTGGATAGTGGGGCTTCCTGCAGTGTGATTCCTCAGTGTGAACTGGACTCAGACACACTCATTACAAAGGGAAGGCACAGTCTGCTAACGTACAGTGGGAGCATAATGTAGTCTATAGGAATATGGACCTCATAGTAACGAACCTGAAAAATAACAGATGGTATCAACTGTAGTTCACTTTGTGGCCCCTAGTTCTTATATTATGGGAACAAGTAAATAACTTTTCCTTATTCACTTTTCTCCACACCAGTCATGATTTTATAGACCTCTATCGTATCCCCCCTTAGTCTCCTCTTTTCCAAGCTGAAAAGTCCTAGCCTCTTTAATCTCTCTTTATATGGGACCTGTGCCAAACCCCTCATTTTAGTTGCCCTTTTCTGAACCTTTTCTAATGCCAGTATATCTTTTTTGAGATGAGGGGACCACATCTGTATGCAGTATTCAAGATGTGGGCGTACCATGGATTTATATAAGGACAATAAGATATTCTCCGTCTTATTCTCTATCCCTTTTAAATGATTCCTAACATCCTGTTTGCTTTTTTGACTGCCACTGCACACTGCGTGGACGTCTTCAGAGAAATATCCACGGTGACTCCAAGATCTTTCTCCTGATTAGTTGTAGCTAAATTAGTCCCCATCATATTGTATGTATAGTTGGTGTTATTTTTTCCAATGTGCATTACTTTACATTTGTCCACATTACATTTAATTTGCCATTTTGTTGCCCAATCACTTAGTTTTGTGAGATCTTTTTGAAGTTCTTCACAGTCTGCTTTGGTCTTAACTATCTTGAGCAGTTTAGTATCATCTGCAGACTTTGCCACCTCACTGTTTACCCCTTCTCTTTATTGAAAATGTTTAAATAAATTTTAAAAATGAGATGATATCCTGACTTATTTGTAACTGAGAAGGCAACAAATACTGAGTTTCTGATTACACTTCCTCTTACTGCCTTTAATATCCAGTTCAGGGATGTAAATACAGGGCTAGTTAGTCTCTGTTCAGATCTCTCGACATAGCCTTCCTGCTTATGAAGAGTCATGACCTGGAAGTAACATTGTAAAAATGTCATTCATCAGTGTCAAAGGAGTCCTGTTGAAAAGGATGAATTTCAAACTTAACTTCAAAGGTTCGGAAACCTTACTACTTTGTGTTTGAAGATATTGTACAAATCTGCTTTTAGGAACAGCACAAGTACAATGGAAAAAGGTTTCTTCATCTCCTGAAGAGGACATTTTCTCATGAGTAGGCTTTTTTCTCTTTTTAGTGAAAGTAAAACTGCTGATTTAATAGGAGATGCTTTGTTGCTTGAGCTCTTTTACCATTCAGGCTGGGAAAGTCACATAACTAGCAATCTTATTAACTAGACTTAGTTTTAACAACCTTTTAGCCCTCACATTAGTCAGCCAACTGGTCACAAAGACCTCTAAAATACTTTTGTTATTTTGGCCACATTCTGGAAGTTATTTCTGTACTAGGACTGCAGGATCTGAATGATTGCTTCAGTTTGATAGTGGGAAAACAATGGATATGTCTACACCAGAGCAGGAGGTATAATTTCCAGCAGTGATGAGGCTAGCACCCACCCTACAAATAGCAGTGTCACTGCAGCGGTGCAAGTGGCAGGATGGTCTAGCTGCTTGAGTATGTATCTGTGTTTCAGATGGGATCGTACTCAGGTGGCTAGCCCATCTTGCTGCTCACATCACCAGGGCTACATTTCTATTTTCAGCACACTACCTCAATCAGAGCTAGAGCAGGTATGTATATCCACGCTGGAAATTACACCACCAGCTCCTGCGTAGACATACCCAGTGTCTGTCACTTTCTACTGCACTATGTGAAGAGCACAGTCTGTACACTACTCAGAGATGCTAATCACATCAATGAAAAATTAACCTGCTTGAAGCAAGGTGTTTTTTAAACTTATCTAAGTGTCTGATATTGTAATAAAAAATAATGATGTTAATATATCAAGCTTTTCTAATTAAAATGTTTGTATATTAAAATAGTTAATCTGTTTCTGAAAATATCAGTTCACTTATATGTGATAGAGTTAACTGTTTTCTCTTGAATAATTAGAATAACCACCTTTTCTTTTGGGTAGGGATATCTGTGCTTACTATGTGCAATCTTTCTAAATACTCAGCTAATGTAAGTCTTGCCCTGTAGGATTTTCAGGATAGGTTTTGTTTAATGCCCAAATTAATAGAAGGGTTCAGTCAAAATATTCCCTACAGCTGGCTTATCAAGCTTGACCATGCTGATTTTTCAATTGCTCTCTTTTGGTAAGGCTGGACTCACAACAATATTACTGTAGTTTTACACTGGAGTAAATCCACAGAAATGAAGTTACACCAGTGTAAAACTGGAGTAATGCAGCAGTGAATCACGTTCATAGTTAAAGAAGAAGACATAGCTTTTCAATGTGAGAGGGTGAACGGAGAAGAAATATCATATGACAGATGCTGGTCTTCCTGTTTATCCTTCACTTTGGAAGGCACCCACATACCACAGTAATGGGTATGGTCTAAACAATATAGAATAGAGGCAGAGGGATGGAAGCGCTATCTCACAGCCCTTCTTAGGGCTCCAGCAAATAAAGATTGGGAACCATTACATTAGCTATGGGTTGTATGACCAAATCCAGGTCTGGCAGGATGTAGTTTGGCACTCTCCACACTTGGGATTCTGAGAGATGGAACTTGGTGGAAATGAAAGTTTACTATTCAGCAAAGCATGTTATTTATATGACCTACTATCAGATCTGCAGGGGAAAATATCAGTTTGACAAAAAATAATGAACTCAAGCTGCTACTTCAACTATATATTGTTCATATGGCAGCACTATTGTGTGGCTACTATTGTTGCATTGATTCTTCCACAGTAGTCCACTGCCTGATCAAATAACTTGGATGGTAGACTATAATCAGGAAGTATGATAAGGTATTTATACTTGATAGGAGGTCCAGAATACATGCTGGAACCGCCATGTGTAGGGGCTTTGAAAAAAACACTGTAGCCTCCAACCCTAACTTCAAGCTAAGGTAAGAATCATGAACTGGGATTCTGTCTACGTTGAAGACATCCTTTAGCTTTAAGGCTCCTCCCCTCCTGCCCCCACCCCCTAAAGACCTGATATTTTGATGAGAGTAAATAAATTACAGTAATCTGAATAAAATATTTTTCCTCTCTAAATCTATATTTTAAAAATTTGTGTTTATACTATTAGAGCTTCTCCATGTGAAGCTGAGCTTCAGGAATTAATCCACCAAATTGATATCATGGTAAACAACAAGAAACTGGAATGGGAAAGGAAGGTGCGAGCTTTAGAGGCAAGAATGGATGTCCGGGATCAAGAATTAGCAAATGCCCAAAGCAAGTTGGATCTGAAAGGTCAAGAAGTACGTACATGAATACCATCTCCTATAAAGAAAGCATTTAATTCTGGGAGTTAGTTAATAGCATACTTTATAAATATGCCTGTTAAGCGTATCACATCAGAATACAGAACAAATTCTTTAAAGATCAGTAATGATCTCTGATATTTTGTATTAAAATGTGTTTCTGCTCTGAAAAATTACTGTAAAAATGTCATTGAGTAGTCCAATGTTTAGTGTGTCTCAGTTATGTCCAGTTCAAATATGTCCACTGTTTACAAGTAAAAAGTTGATTTGTTGGTTTTTCTAAATGCCAGCCCAGCTAATTCAATCTGGGATTTTAAAGTCAAAATGGGTTCTTTCCTTCTTGTGTATCTTCATTAATTATAAAGGTTCTCCAGGCCAAATTAAGCCTTCATTTACACCTGGGCAACTCCATCATAATTATTATTTATATTGCAGTACCACCTAGGATTACTGATCAAAGATCAGACATCCTTTCTGCTAGACACTGTACAGAAGCACAGTCATATCTGCAGAGTGTACATTCATAGACAATAGTGCAATCCTAGTGTCTCCCAACAATTTGCATATGTGTAATTCAAGTTTAGTAAAGAAATTTGGACAAAAATCCATCTTGCGAACTCTTGGGTATGTTGGCTCTGCAGAGTTAATAAGCGTAAAAATTAGCAAAAAAGATATTTTTGTCACTAATGAAAGCAGGTGTGATTTTCTGTACACACATGAAAGACTATCTGTTTAGTAAGATTCTATTTTACCTTTTTCACTATCCACAACTGCAACCCCTTCTGTCATTCAGACTTACCTACATTTTGTTGCCACAATGCTTGTGAGTTTGTTTCATTTTAGTGGGATGTTTGTTTGTTTTTAAGTAATGCATAAACATGTGCACATGTGAAGATAAAAATGTAAAGAGGTTCATTGTTGTCTTAAATGAGTGATGGGCACTGCTTATTTATGAGGCCAGTCCAGCAAAAATTTCACGCAGATGTGAGGTTCTGCTAGTTCTCAACTCAGCTACTCAGGTCAGCTGGTGGTCTAAGGAATTGCTCCTAAGACAAGATCTTTCATTAAGCAATTATATAATGTTATAATCAAATTATAATGCAAATATGCAATGGACTTTTTCGGTACAAAATGTCAAACTTAAGCAATTTAGTTTTGTGGTATCTAATTTTACTTTTTAATAACTTGTTAAAATAAGTACAATAAAAATATTTACCTTTGGTGCACCAGTCCTATTTACAATTTTGTCTATGTTAAATATTAGCCTCTTAGGAATTATTTGGAAAAAGTAAAACTGAATGTTTATTCTAAATGTAGGTAGGGATACTTCGACAGAAGTTAGACAGCTTGCAGAAGACTAAATATGAGATGGCTCAGGATTTCGAAGCTCAACTTCAAGCACTGAAGTCTCAAGTAAGGAAAAAGTCAGATTCAGTATTTTACAGTGGTTCAATATTTTCTGGTTAGTTTAGTAGATTTTGAATAGTTTTCTAAACTTACTTTATCACTTTATATTTCCATTTCTAATCATATCAGGTAATATTTCTTTAGAATTATTTAAAGACTTACTTTGTGTTGAGAATTTGGTTTGATAAATATGAAGTATTTTTGTACTCGTTCAATTTGTGTTATCTACATTTAAAAATTTTATCCTTAACTATTTTCTAAAAAATGTTTCTAATGTATAATTTAATAGATGTGTCTTCAGGGATTTGTGAATGGTAATTTGTCACACTTTTTAACTTTGGGTGACCATATCCACTTTCATGGGTTCAATTATCATTTCTATAAGGAGAACTCTGAATCTACTTCTCCATACTGGACTTATTGTGACAATGTGATCAAAGGACATGGAGAGAGCCTCTGTCAGATGTAAGACCTGTGAACTATGGACTAGGTATCTTGAAGGGCTATAATCACCTAATCAGGGTTATGATCCTTAGAAGCTGATGCACACAGGGAATCTTGATTTGAGATATGTCTGTATGTTGAAATGTTTTAGATTACTCTAGGTTGTCTTGTTTTTAAGTTAAGTTTATTTGTGTTATGAAGGCTACTGAAAAGCTCTGGAAACAGCTTTCAGGTTCATAGCTCCAGCTATGAACAAATTGGTAGTATTCCATGAGAGGAGGTATAAAAACCAGAGGGAAGAGGCATCAGGTTGGATTCATTTTTGCTTTTTGATTAGTTTGTTTGCTCCATGTCTGTCCTTTTTCTCTGTTATTCTCTATTTTCCACTCTTAGCTATGAGTCTAATGGGTGTCAGGTTTACTGAACTTCAGTCCATAGTGTTTCTCAGATTTACCAACGTAGAGTAGACCGTCCTAGATTTGGTCTTTTCTTTCTTATCTGATGGTGTCTTCAATGTTTTCTGCTACTGGGAAAGGGAAAGAAACAAAGGCTTGGGCTATACTTAAAACCTATACCAGCATAGCTATGTCAGTCAGCGGTGTGAAAAGAGCCACACCCTAGTGACATAGCTTTGCTGATAAAACCTCCAGTGTAGATACAACTATGCCAACAGAAGAGTGCTTCTGTTGGCATAGATAATGTTATTTGGGGAGGTGGTGTTCTTACACCAGCAGAAAAACTCCTCCTGTCAGAGCGCATACTGCATCTACACAAGGGGCCTGTGCCTGCATAAGCTCTGTAATGTAGACATAGTTTGTTCAACAACCAGACCTCTTCACCAAATCAGCCTTCCAGTCAAACCTGAGATGGACCTCGAACTTGGCATGGCCAAGTAAAGAACTATAATTTTGACCTGATGGTGACAATATTCCTCACGTACATATCACGAGACCATAAAAAGGAGCATCTGTTCTTTTTTAAACTTTCATTTCCCTTCCTCAGTCTTCTGTTTTATCTGTGTTTGCCTATATTTGGTTGGAGAAATTGACTTGACAAACAAACAGCTTTGTAAATAAGCTGAGAATGTTTTGGTTGTCATCTAACTACCACTTTCAGTAATTTAAGAAAACAGTTATGAAACAAAAGCTGTTTTTGTAACTTACAGTGTTTCCCTGCATTGTAAATATAGATACAAGATTTACATCTTGGTGTGGTTACTGAGAAGTTAAGCATTAGACCGTGAAAAAAAAGAACTCTAGTTTTCCTTTGAGTGATTCTGAACATATATATTCCACAGTATATAAGTCTAAGTCCAGTGCACTAGAGTCGGAGACTTTTGCCACCATTACCACCAAGTGACTTATACTGCCCTGCTTTTCTCATGCTCAAAGCCAATGGCATAAAAGGGGCATGGCCACCACATCTTTCTCAGGTCCTTCTTACCATCTGTAGCAAGAATTGGAGCTCCCCATTGCTCTTCAGCTTCAGTTAACCAGCCACTAGTCAGAGATTTCTCTAATTGTACAAGGTTCTGGTTATAGTTAGCCTTAATATAATTTAGTTTATTAGATAGAGTCCTTTCATTTAGGAATTTAGAAGGAACAAATCCCCAAGATTCAAACAATGTGCCACATGCTGGGCCGTGATTTTTGTTACAGATAGGCACAAAAGCTGCCTAATTTGCCTGGGTGAGAGGCATATGAGGGACAAATGTCCTATCTGTACCCCCTTTCCAATGAGGATGAATAAACAGGGATTTCCACCTCAAAGTCCATCTTATAAAAGAAATAATGCTTTCCTCTGCAGTGCGTGACCCTGATCACAAGAGAACTAACAGCTCGGCCACAAGGAGCACCCTTCCAGCTGCCCCAGAGTCTAAGCCCAAGTCTGCTGAAAAATGCTGCTCTTCTTTTTCTCCGGTGGCCTCCGTAAAACTTTTTAAACTTTCTTCTTTATCTGAGAGGTGGTTGAAGTTTCACTCTTCACCCCACATGAGTCCTCCAGTGCCACATCAAGGTCAGGTCACAAATACTGACACTTACCAGCACTGTCAACTCTGTTTCCACTGGTGCCATTGAGCTTGCGGTCTTCACTGTTATCAAAAACATATTTGTTTCCAGCACTGTTGGGTCCAGTACCCCCAGCACCTGCAGCAGAACACTTGCCTCTTACCTTTCTTTACAGTCTCCACCAGGTCGGTGCCACCAGCATCATTTACAGTCACATATTCCTCATTTCCACTGGCTTCTTCATCACAACCCTCAACGAAGGCACTGTCAGCACCACTGAGACTGACCTATTCTTTTGTCTTCCGGCCATTTTGCCTGCTTCCACCAGCTCCGTCATATACATCCTCTATGTCAGTACCTTTAGGACAGCACCAGGTTTTGCTGGTATTGAGACTTCCACGAATGCCAAGTGGAATGCTCATCCATTCACTAAGGAGAGTTATACCTTCTCTTCAAATTTGGACCATGATAGACCTGTATGTCTTCCACAGTCTTTCAGGTCTCCTTTTAGGTCACACTCTAGTCATGCCAGAATCAAGGGGCAAGATTGGCATTTTTACAAGGAAGTCCTTGTATTATGCCCATCACCTTCATAGGCAGTTCAAAGAGTGGAATCCCCCCTTGGCTTTATTGCGCATCTTAGACTGCCCCAAGAGTGTCTAGACCACTGCTGGAGTCTCGGTGTAGGAGATGATTGCATTCTTCCTTTTTGGAAACTTCAAGGCAGGATCCTCCTACCATCCCTCAGTCCCCTTCTTTGCTGAAGCCCACAGAAAAAGGTGCAAGAGAAGAACACCTAGATGTTCCCATCACCATACTTCATCTTCTTCCATGCATAATGCCATCACCCCACAGTTGACATCATCCCCTTCCCCACCCTACTCCCAATGGAGGGCTATAAAGTGTTTCAGGACCTCATGGCCACATCTCTAGGATTGCAGGCAGAGCTTGTGCAAGACCACCTACACAAGTTTTTTGATATCTTATAAACACCTACCACAAAATGGGTTGCCCGTCCCATTAATGAAGCCTTTCTGGAACCTGCGAAGAACCTCTGGAAGTTGCTGGCCTCTGTCCTGCCTATACCTAAACACTGGACAAGTGTTATCAGGTTCCCCAGCAGTAATTTGATTATTTCTTCACCCACTCTGTCCTAGAATCCCTTGTGGTTATGGTAGCCAATGAGTGTTCAAAGCAGTCTCATCCTAGGGCCACTTTAAATCCAATCTTTTAAACTTATCCTTTGTAGTGCCTTTCTGGCACTATCAATTGGCCTATATCACTATGCTCCTTCAGATGAGGATGTTGAATTATCAGGCACTGTTGTTGAAATATACCTTTATTAATTGGTGAGCAGTTTCAAATTGGGGGACAAAATTGCCTGAAGAATACAAAAAACAGTTCTTGGCCATGATCTCTGAAGGACATGTCACTGCCTGAACATCACTCCAAGTGGCCATCAGTGTGGCCAACGCTACCTCGTTATGTACAGTGGATTGTATATGTGCACAATCACGTAGGAGGAAGAACAGTTATTTACCTGAACAGTAACTTTTGTTCTTCAAGATGTATTGTGCACATATACATTCTTCAACCCTTCTGCCTTCCCCACTATTCTGGATATTAGATAGGCAGTGGTGTAAAGGAACAGAGAAGGAAGCTGCAGTCACACCCCTTTTATGCCATCACTCTGAGCTCGAGGAGAGCAAATGCTGCCTGATGTGCTGCCTGGTGATTATGCTGGCAGAAGTCTTTGGCTCCAGTGCACTGAGCGCACTTACACTTACAGTGAACTATGTATGTGCACGACACATCTCGAACAATAGTTACTGTACCAGTAAGTAATTGGGTTTTTTAGCACTAGTTGTGGGGTGGATTTTGGTACAATTAAATAATCCATAAATGACATCAGATCTAAATCCTCCCTTACATTGTCACGTTTCCTGTTATCGCTGTCGTATCTTGGATGGCTTGCCATCATCTCAAGTTAAACATGATCTAACTTTTTCTCCAAATGCTCTCCACTGCCATCATTTTCTGTTTCTGCTAACAACTTCACCATCCTCTCTGTTCCTGAGACTCACAACTTGGCAGTCATAGATTCATAGATTCCAAGGCCAGAGGGGACCATTGTGTAGTATGACCTCCTATATAAAATAGGCCATAGAACTTCCTCATAATAATAAATAAGAAATACTAATAATTAATGAATAATGAATAATTAATGTAATCTTTCATGACAGTTCTGCCCTTGAATGTATTTCTTTCTTCTGCACATCCAGGCCATGAGCAAATCCTACCTGTTCCCTTCATAATATTTTTAAAAAATCTAAAAAAAATCTGACCATTCCTATCCATCTTAACAACAGTCAAATTAATTTCTTTCTCTCTGGTCTTGGGTCTTAGCTTGCCAAGATTGTCTTTATTATCCAGCACTCAGACCATTTCAACCCCTTTTTGAATCTTCTCACTGATTTCTTATTGCTCTACATGTATGAAGTGCAAACTTCTTGTTCTGGCTTGCAAAGCCATACATCACTCTCTCCTGGCTTCAGTTGCCACCTGCCCCTTTTGCTTTCTGCAAGTTCCTTTGTTCTGCCAGACATGCCATACTTGATGCCCCGTTCATTACATTTTCCTTCTTTTGCTTCTTTGCCTTCTTTCATGCATCTCTTTACATGGAACATCCTTCAAATTCTGATTCACTAAGCTACCACTCACTCTTTCCTCATTCAGATCCCACGTAAAAGCGCAATTCTGTCCTGAAGAAGATGAGTATAAAGCCTCCCTACCCCAGATGTATCAGTTTATATACATGGCTAAAATAAGTAACCACATGATCTGATTAGTGTAATCCTTTTCTGACCTCATTTTGTTCCCCTCCCCTCCTCTGTTTACTATCCTCTCTTGTGTGTCATACCTAAACCTATAATGTGAATTCTTCAGGGCTGAGACATGACTTTTATTCTGCATGGGGCCTAGCATACTTCTGAGTGCTGAAAAATAATCTATCATAATAATATAGGGTGTTAATCCTGAGGCCCTGCGAATTAAGATTAACATTAACTCAGGGCTAAAATTCACTGAATGTAAACACAAAACTCTGGTGGCTGAGGGGCTGGCAGCTACTACACTTCCAGATTATTTGGAGAAGTGTCCTTGGTAAAAATTGTAAAATATTGGCAAATATGGTGATAATGGCCATTTTAAGTATGGCCCAGTTACTTCCACCTCAACCCCTCCGAGAATCCTCCTGCTACTGCCTGATTCCCTCCCTCTATTCTGTCACCAATGTCTTCTGCTGCTTAGCTTACCTTCTTCCATCTTGTACCCAGCACCTGAGTTGTTCTTTGTCCTCCTGTTTGCTACCTCCCTATTCTTTCCATGGCTCCAGAGCCATCCCTTCATTATAGGTATCAGTAATGCAGAGTTATATTTGGTATTATTTGCTACCTGATGATCCCAAGGTAATGGGACCAATATATCAACAGTTTTAACATTTAAATGCTTAATTTTAACACCTTAAACTGCTAAAGGTCTTCATGAATAAGTGAATATAAACCAGTTAATCCTTTATTCTGGTTACTGAAGTACTTTTAAAAATTGTCAACACAAGATGGCACTAAACAAATGTAAAACAATTCATATAAATACAATACAAGAATTTACTTTACATGGTTAAAAATAAAAGTGCCATACAAAATTTCAATAAAAAAAAAACAACTGTGAAGTAAATCTGTGTTTAACTGGGCAGTTAATAAACACTCAGGGTTATATGAAAGCTTAGTCTTGTTCATCTTTAATAATTTAGTTTTAGTAACTGGTGCTTTGTTACAGAGATTCACTAATTAGAATGTTTAAACTTCACTGTATTTACCAATTATGACTTAAATAAAAGATTATCTGAGATAGAAGACACATATTCTTAATATTCATATCTCCTTTAATTTTTAGTTTTGTAAACTGACACAAAGCTATGAAAAACTACAGTTACACCAGATAAAACAAGATAGGGTTCACAGTAAAGAAATATGTGCAGAAAATCTGGAAACTCCATTTGAACTGAGCAATTTAAACCAGAAATTGGAAGTAAGTATGTTTTGCTGTTATAGTAGACCTAGTTCATCTTCAGGATTCATACTTGGTTTACAGTTTCAGGCTGTAAATCACAAAGCATGTACAGTGTTCTGTATAAAATATGGAAAGAGCCGTGTGTTGACAGTGTTTTCTGTTCTTCAGAGGCATTAATTTTATTAACGCTGTTTATAGCCCTGTTAATATAGATCAGCCAGCTCATAAATTTAAATTTGAAATAAACAATTACTCTGTCCCTGATCTATGAAAGACATATTATTCAATAAGGCAATGGTTCAGGAAAATTTTTGCATTCAGGGGGATGTTCTAGGCTTTTCATGTTATGGTCATTATTAATTAGTTGTAATAGATTTCAAGACTAGAAGGGACCAATCTGATTATCTAGTCTGACTTCTTGCATAACACAGCGCATAGGATTAACTCCTCCCACCACAGAGGATTGTTCCTGCCTGATAGGGCACATTACCAGCCCTCCAGTAGAAGTGTGGCTATCTCTTCCACATGGCAAAGCCCACACTATTATAAAATCTGTCACTTGGAGCCCACCAGAGTGGCTAACAGTTGTTACTACAAGAGTAATGCATGGTTTATGCATCTACCTAGGGCTAAATATATATCTTTCATGACACTCTCACAACCTGCTAATCTGAGAATGACCTTATCCAAGGTTTGAACATGAATATAATGCAACACAGTGCTACCAGTTAGTAAATTATGCAGTATAAAAAATGAATGCTTGGAATGTGTTCAGCAGAGTCTAGTTTTAAGAAAATAATTACTGTATTGAAAATCTACTCAAGCTCAGCAATACTTTACTAGTGCCTTGAACCTGTAGTCCTCACTTTGTAGTCAGATGAATATGCATTGTATCTGATGTTGTGAAGAAATAAAAGTTGTTTATATTTGCTTATAATTCAGAAACAGACAGTAGTAAAAGTATAGAAAAATTATGGATCAATCAGCTTCATAGGGCATAGATGCAGCAAAAATAATCTGATTGTTCAAAATTCATAAATTACACTGAGTTAAGAAAACTGCACAAATTCATCTAGGTCTCTGGACCCTACATTTCCATTTGGAAAAATGAAGTTTCTAGTCTGGGTTTTAAAGATATTTTAGGGTGGTTTTTTGTGTGTAAGTCAATGCATTGTTACTTTGATTCTTTAGCTGAAAAAGCAACAATCTACAATGGCTATGGAGTACTACTAATTATTTTATTAGGTATAATCTTCAAAGTCTAGTTATGAATATTTAAATTCTAAAACCTTTAAACAACTAAGTAAAATACACTCAGCTCTGTTACAGAAATATGAAAATAACAGAAATTGCTAATCAGGTTTGGGTTTAAATTCTGTGGACTCAAGGCAGGAATTCCTCCTATCCCTTAAAAAATCTCAAAAAAACCATTACCAGAATGAGCGGCAAGAGAGGAAATGTTTCCTCCTTAGCTGCCCTCCCACATTCTTAAGAAAAAATATAAAAATTCCAGCACTGAAATTGTTCATCTGAACACCAAGAGCCTGACTTACTGCTGCATTATTCCTATTTGTACTCGTGTAACTCCATTGAAATCAAAAGAATTACACTGTATAAAACTGGAGTAACACAGTGGTGAATCAGGCCTCTAAGGTCTACAACAACTGAAGATATATGAAACTTTAAAAATGTTTCTAACATTTTACTTCAATTATTGTGCATGTTATTCCGCTTGCTCAGAATAACAGCTTTTTCAAGTGCTGGAATTTTCTCTTCTTGCAAGAAAATGAAAAACCTTTTTTTACATTTGCTGACTTATTTTCTTTCCACAGATTTGATTGTCCCTCATTATTAGTAATAAATATATATTAATTACACAAGTGACTTTTCTTAGAGCTATAAAAAAATCTGAGTGTTCATTATGAAGAGTGCGCTAGTGCAACTTGGAGAAAAATGATTTCAAGGCTTAATGACCTTATGTTGCTTTTTTTCAGGAATTTAAAGCAAAATCAAAAGAATGGGATCAGAAGGAGACACTATATCAAAACCATCTCATTTCTTTAGATGCGCAACGAAAATTATTGTCTGAGAAGTGTAATTTATTTCAGGTATAATTCCTGCCTTCCTGCTTTAGAAAAATATTAATTGAATCATGAGCTCAGCTAAAGAGCTGTTTTAACTAATGCTAAAATGTTTCTAAAACACTGTTTGCAGTGGTGTTGTAGCTGTGTTGATCTCAGGGTATTACAGAAATAAGGTAGATAAGGTAATATATTTTATTGGACTAATTTCTTGGTGAAAAAGGTCCTGTATATGCCTATCACAACATAGTATATCTCATCCAGTGCACTAAGTGCCCGAATAACAACTATGTGGGTGAAATGAGATTATGTTCTCAAATTAACTCACACAGAAAAATGATAAAAGACAAAAGCACCATATTGCCCCTGGGTGAACACTTTTCAGAAAACAATCACTCTGTATCTGACCTCTCAGTCCTCATCCTCAAAGGAATCTTTGTCACTTTAAAAAGATGAGCCTGGGATTTTAAATTCATAACTTTGATAGACACTAAAAATCATGGACTCAATAAAGACACTGGATATATGGCTCATTACAACAATCTATAACCCACTAGCCTTCTTTGTTCAATGACTGCAGAAATGTTAACTGCCCACTTTACCTTGAATGGTCTCTTACATGTTAACTCTTTATGCTAAACGATCTATTCCACCTTGTATTTAGCTGTGACCCTCTGAGTAACTTTTCCAGACCTAAAGAAGAGCTCTATGAAAGCTCAAAAGCTTGTCTCTATCACCAACAGAAGTTGGTCCAATAAAAGATATTACCTCACTCATCTTGTCTCTCTAAAACACTGCTAAATTTACCGTGACTCTAAAGAAGAATTAATGTGCACAAATTGCTGTAAATCCAGGAGAATCCTCTCTGAAACAACTAATACTTGATACTTGGAGTAATTTTTATTTAAGTTTTTCTTGTACATTGTGAGTATGTACCAAGGTGAGTATTACAATATTTGGAATAGATAAATATGGGAAAATAATGTATACTCAGTTTTACTGTAAAAAAGCATGATGCATAGAGGATCTTCTTCAGGTTCTTGTCTAGGTGGCATCTCTTCTATGCTATTTATTAATATACAGTTCATTAGGATGATCCGTACTGCAAGAAAACTTGCAATGTGAGTAGTGCAAACTATTAGTGTTCATTCAGTAATTGTCTATATTGATCCCCATTCATGAGAACAGTGCAGCCCCAGAATTCAAACTCAAAAATCTTCTAGAAAGTAATGTTTGATGTATCCGTTCATCCTTCTCTCCTTGCACTGATATCTGGGATTATAACAGTTGAAGTGGCTTGGCACACCTTCCAGTCGTCTTGACCACCAAAGGTTCAGCAAGGTGTCCTCTGTTCTCTCCTCATTGGCTTTGGGGGTTACTGTTTTGTTTATATAGTTACTTGGTCAGTCAATTTTTTATTTACTTTAATCCTAGCACAAAGAGTAGATTTTTTGGAATCTTGATAGATTATACAACTATAAAAGCCTTCTTGCATAATGATAGGTTCCATGCCATCCAGGATATTGACTCCAGGCTATCAGTCTTGTGGAGAAGCCTGGCTGGGGCCAAGATCTGGGGTGGACTGTTCCCTCTCAGGGCCTTCCAGAGAGAAGGAAATAGTTTATATTTCTTTGCATTTATTTTGAACTTTGGGTACCCTGGGCGGGGTGGAACTGCTATGTGACCTAACTGGAGGGCTAAATCACCTGGAAGGTATTGGAAGCTGGATAGATCAGCTGAAGGCCCTGAGAGAAACAGAGGCAGAGTCACTGCTGCACCAGTCTATCCCATAAGAAGGCATGCTGGTATTGAATATGGCCACAGGCAGATAGGTGCCTAAATACTTTGGTTGATCTAGCACTTTGTGTAATATGAGGATAAAACCTTGGGTCAGTTTATCTCAGTTTAGAAGGGTGTTAAGTCACCAAAAGATATCAGAACACACAAAATAGGGCCTAAGACAGTCTATAGCATGCCTTCTCACTGCCTCCATCAATGAAATATGCTACTTGTAGCTCTGTACACTTTTTTATGCAGCATTACTCTTTCAAGTGAGCTCTAGACCTGATGCCCAATTTGAAGGAGCAGTCCTACTGTCATTTTTCAGCTAATTCAGACCCATCTTCTGGATAATTACTGCTGCTTGTTAATCTTCCAGGAGTAGGGGTCCACATGGTCAATTCTTGAAACAGTGAAAGTGGTTACCATAGTAACTGATTTTCCAAGGTGACTGTGGATCCATAAACACTGCCCACCTTCCCTAACTTTCAGTTCAAGGATTCCTTAATTAGTAAAAGGGACTACAGGATGGTTGGAGGCCAATCCCATTATACCAGGGGTGGCCAATCTGTGGCTCCAGAGCACATAGGGCTGTTCAGAAGTTAATATGCAGCTCCTTCTATAGGCATTGACTCCGGGGCTGGAGCTACAGGCGCCAACTTTCCACTGTGCTGGGGGGGGGCGGGTGTGTGCTCACTGCTTAACCCCTGGCTTTGCCACAGGCCCTGCCCCCACTCCACCCCTTCCCACCCCCTCCCCTGAGCCTGCTGTGCCCTCACTCCTCCCCCCAGAGCCTCCTGCACTCCACAGAACAGCTGATTGGGAGGTGTGGGGAGGGATGGGGAGGCACTGATCAGCGGGGCTGCCAGTAGGCGGGAGGCACTGTTGAGAGGGAGCTGATGGGGGGCTGCTGATGTATTACTGTGGCTCTTTGGCAATGTACATTGGTAAATTCTGGCTCTTTCTCCTGCATTATACCTTCAACTCAGATCCCTGTGTAACAGTGCTTTCTAGAAGATTCAGAAGGTACAATTATTCCCCAGTTGAGTGGATCCAAGTGGGCAATCGTCTCAGAGAAGCACAGTTACTGTGTAACTAACTGGGTTTTTTATATGTGGATTGTGTGGTGTTAGCTTAAAAGTCAAGGGCAAATTTCTGCCCTCAAATGCACATAAACAACTCTTATTGAGGTTAGTGTATTGGAGGGCAAAATTGCCCTCAACTAATTATTTTTCTGTAGCTATTTGGTCCAAATATATCATTACATTCACATTAGGTCTGTATCTTTCCCTTCTAGGGAAATAAGCACAAGAAGGGAAAACTCTTTGAGAAATTCTGCAAACTTAAATTTTCAGAGTTTCTACCACATTCTTCCATTGAGGGCAAGGGATTTGAGGCCCAATAAAGACAAGAATGAAACATCCCTTGTCCTTTGGAGAAGCAGCAAGGAAATCCTCCAGCATGCACCAGCCTCTCGTGGTGCTCTATCCAACTCCCACTGTAGTTAATGAAAAGACCACTATTGATTTTATTGGTAGTGGACTGGACCAAAGGGATGAAATATAATTTTTGAATTTCACTGAAATTATTTCCTTGTTTTATAGAAACAGACACAGAATTATCGATTCCAAATCAGCAATAAGAACCAGAAACAGGAAGACGCAGCTACCTCCAGCCAATCCAAAATTGAGAGGGATGAATTCATTATTGAAAAATTAAAGTCAACTGTGAATGAAATAGCAATAAACAGGAATAAGTTACAAGAGGAAAATCTAAAACTGCAACAGGAACTAACAGTGTACCAAACACAGTGCCAGGTAATGACTAGTAACAGTATTTCTTCTCTATAAGTACAGTGGAATAAAGCTAAAGGAATTAATTTTGAAGCATTAATTATTGAGGAATACATTTTCAAAATTCCTTCGGAATGCTTGTATGGAGGATTATTATGTAGAGTACTTTATTTACAAAACCATAATGTGCTGCCAGATGTACCATCTTTTGAATGACACACAAGAGAAAACAAAAATGTTTTTGATATGCAGTACTGTCATTTATTTTATTTTTGTCTGTTTTATACCTCACACTTTACACCTCACACTTCACCAGAGAAACCCAGCTTCATTCACTGTATCTTGTGTATCAATAGCTTTCATGAATTTTGTTTGTCTGGCTTATGTGGAGTAGTACACAAGATGCTATGAAATTGTATCTAAGTATCTAGAAAAAATGTATGGTAATATATTTTGTTATAGGCAGAGCTGGTAGCACAACCTGCTATTAGGGTTGGCCACCACCCTTGAGGCCTGTCAAAGTTGTGGTAGCCTATCCCCTGGTTTTGTGGGTTATAGTGCTGTCCAGAATCTCTGCAGTGCTGTGTACTGCAACCCCATCTGCGATATACCCTTCTTTCCCTCAGCTTGCCTTCCATGCCAGAACTTGGGAGGGTATCCTCGGAAGGCAGTCTTACTGGTATCTTTTTTAGTTCTTCTTTGACTAGGGTCCCTATGGGTGCTCCAGTTCAGTGTGATTTTTGGTAGTAGTGCCAGCTATGTAGGGCTGTGTGGGCAAACTGCCTTCAGTTTCTTCTCAATCACCTAGGCCTCAGAGTATTTAGCATGCCCACGTTAGAGCTGGTCAAGCTTGCCTCTAACTTTCAGTTAGTTGTAGTGTTTTGTTTAATTTAATGTAGTATTTAGTATTTATTTGCTTTATTCTTGAGAGTCTTTACTTATTTCCCTCAAGCATCCTGTCACCCTCTCCTCCTGGGAGGTCTCCCTCCATTTCAGGAAATATGTCAGGATCATCGGGACTCAAGCATGTGTGACATTTATGCAAATTATTTGCAAATGTCTAATTAAAGTATTTGCATGTATGCATATTATTTGTATTTTCACGTAAACTTCTGCTTAACAACTAAGCAGCACAACACTTGGCAACTGTGGCAGGAGGGTGGGTGCCTGAAAGGTAGGTTGGTGCTGTTTTGGAGCTGCCTTGGTGGGGAGGTAAGCTGTGGTACATGGATTTGTGGGATGGTCAGGGGGCTGTATGGGTGGAGGTGGCTGAGAGATGCTGGGACATATCTGAGGTTTATGGGGCTGTTTGGACAGAAGATGGGGTAACTGTGGTATTGTAGGGGAGGCTGGATGAAGCTGTGTTTGTAGGAGTACCCAAGAGGGAGAAGACGGGGGTAAAGTCATTGCATGAGGGAAGATGCGTGGTAGAATCCTAGAATATCAGGGTTGGAAGGTACCTCAGGAGGTCATCTAGTCCAACCCCCTGCTCAAAGCAGGACCAATCCCCAACTAAATCATCCCAGCCAGGGCTTTGTCAAGCCTGACTTTAAAAACCTCAGAGGAAGGAGATTCCACCACCTCCCTAAGTAACGCATTCCAGTGCTTCACCGCCCTCCTAGTGAAAAAGTTTTTCCTAATATCCAACCTAAACCTCCCCCACTGCAACTTGAGACCATTACATTAGCTTAGGGAAGATAAATTTGTGGGGATGTCCAGGAAGATAGTAGGGGAGGTGTCTGGGAGGAAGAAGGAAAGAGCTGGAGAGGGCATCTTGGGAAAGTTGGGATGAGCCAAGTAAGGGTGGTGAAGGGTTAGGGGAGAGCTGGGACCTATTGGGAATGGGGGAGAGAGGAAGCATGGATGAGAGGGACTGGCTGGTTACTATGGCAGGTTGCCTGGGGCTTGTATTGGGCCCCCCTCACCTTCTGTCCTTCCCACCTTTGGTTCCCTGCTCCTTCTGGCTGCTTTTTCCCCCACTGGGCTCCAACAGGGGAGCAGCGAGCCAGAGGCCAATTGGCTGCCTGCTCAGCAGGAGCAACAGCAGCCGAGAAAGAGATCTTGGAGTCATTGTGCATAGTTCTCTGAAAACATCCAGTCAGTGTTCAGTGGCAGTCAAAAAAGCTAACAGAATGTTAGGAACAATTAGGAAACGGATAGATAATAAGACAGTAAATATCATAATGCCACTATATAAATCCATGGTATGCTCACATCTTGAATACAGCATGTAATTCTGGTTGCCCATCTCAAAAAAGATATATTAGAATTGGAAAAGGAACAGAGAAGAGCAATAAACATGAGTAAGGGTTTGGGACAGCTTCCATATGAGGAGAAATTAAAAAGACTGGGACTAAGGGGGGATATAATAGAGGTCTATAAAATCATGTCTGGTGTGGAGAAAGTTAATAAGGAAGTGTTATTTATACACCTTCACAAAACACAAGAACTAGGGGTCCCCCAATGAAATCAATAGGTAGCAGGTTTAAAATAAACAAAAGGAAGTACTTCTGCACACAACGCACAATCAACCCATGCAACTAATTGCCAGGGGATGTTGTGAAGGCCAAGAGTATAACTGGGTTCAAAAAAGGATTAGATAAGTTAATGAGAATGGGTCCATCAATGGCTATTAGTCAACATGGTCAGGGATACAACCCCATGCTCTAAGTGTCCCTGAGACTCTGTCAGATTCTGGGACTGGATGACAGGGGATGGATCACTTGATAATTGTCCTGTTCTGTTCATTCTCTTTGAAGCATCTGGCATTGGCCACTGTCGGAAGACAGGATACTGGGCTAGATGGACCATTGGTCTGACCCAGCATGCCTATTCTTATGTTCTTTAATAACCATAAGCCATGATTAAGGCTCATTCCTGCAGCTTGTTGAACTCAGACTGGGCTGTGGTCTGGAAATATTTGAGGTATGGCCTGTATGTGTGTGTGTGATACTTGGCAGATCTGCGTAGTTCAGCTGGTGGTAGTGAATTCACTAGTGGTAATGAATTTACATGACAACTTAGTCACACACATCTAACAAAGAAGTTGAACAGGTACAGGGAAGAGTTAAGAGTAAAGTTGGTCAGAAATTTTGGAAAATACTAATTTGTCAAAACTGAAAGTTTTTGTAGGAAAGTGTTGGTTGTGACTAATTATTTGACTAAGAAGAGTTCAGAAAAAAAGTTTTGAAATTTTCTGAAATGTTTCTTTTGATATCTTCAGCACAAAAAAAATCACATTTTCCGGTTTTAAATGTCTTTTTGGTTTGAAATTTAAGCTAATTAGAATAAAAAACATTTTGAAAATATCAAAACAAAATGGCCTAGTTAAGGCACCTAGTGGACAAATGAAGCACTGTTTGTGAGAAAAACTGCTGGCTTGTTGAAGGTTTAAATGTAGCTGCAGTCTGGGTTCTTTGAATTATAAAAGTGCTACTGCTTTTATTATTTAATATCCATTCCTGCTCAATTCCAAAGCAGGAGTTATATGATTATAAATATAGTAATAAGAATTTCCTGAGTTTGAGTCCACTCACTATCACCCCACAAGGAGCTGACAGATTCCTGGAATCCAAAACTTTCCTGCCTGTTTGGAAGCAATGACAGTGTTATACAGGGAATTTAGCTGAAAGCATGCAGGATCCAGCAGCCAAACTAGAAGGCCTTGCAGAATTTCTGGGCTATAGTAAATGCTTGACAATACATTCATACATTTAAAATCAATTCTTAAAAGAATCAAACTCTAAGGTAGCCATGAGTAAGTCCTTGTAGCCTCTATTAAGAGTTTATTAAATTTAATTTTTACTTGGATATGCTCAGAGATGCACTTTGGTGTTTAACTAAAGCTTTTAACCCTTTAAACAAAGGGCCAGCCCAGTGGTGGAGTTGTAGCACAATGCTTTGAAATGCTAGAGATCTTATACACAATTCAAGCTTGGTCCACCCCTCTGAAGCCAACAAAGGCTGTGAGAATTTAGTCAGTATGCCCACCTCCTGTAGGAGAGAGGGAGTGCTTCACATCACCCTTCAGCAACCTTTTCAGGCAAAGAAAATCACAGTCCTCTTCTTTGGTTAGAAGAAAGGTCACTCTAATCTGAGATTCTCTCTCTCTCCCCCTCCCCCCACCCCCCTTTTTTGGGGAATAAACCCTTTGAAGGGACTCACTTGCAATAGCTGTTCTGGATTCACTCTTCTGAGATTTGAATTTCCATGGTCATTTTTGAAGTTTAAAAAGCTTTCTTTTCACTTTTAAATGTATTGAAATAAAATGAAGAAGTGATGAAAAACACTTAACATTTTCTTAGCGTACTATCTTAAAGGCAAAGTCCACTACCATTGGAACATCCTTGTTTCTTTTATCTACTACTTGGTTTTTTTTGCCAGTGCTCAAAAGTTATGTTTTCAAATTATATGCTCATATTTTGTTATAATTGTGCTGGTTATAATGAGGGCTTATACAAAAATGTTATTATTTCAAGCATAATACTGTTGCCCTTTTTGACCCAAGCAGCTAGTCAGAGTTTGGGGTCCTCTGGGTGTTCCAATTGGGAGTAGAAATTAGTGTTAGGTATTTCTTTGATGCAGTTTTGTGTATTTACAAAGAATGTACAAAGTCCTGTGGTCTCTGAATGCAGAAGGAATCAAATAGCAGGAAACAGCTTCTTTTGCTTACAGCATCAAGAGCACTCTTATGAGCCTGCACTCTGACTCAAAAGTCTCTCTCCAGGTTTTTTCCAGGATCAGCCACCATGTTCCTTTAGGCTGTCTTTTTCTTGTCTGTTCTCAGCTTTTTAGTGTAATCACACACACACATCCATGCTTGCTCATTTCTGGGCAGGTTCACACACTCATTTTGCCTTAGGTGGGGCTTATGCTTACAGTTAGGGTGAGTTCACACCTATCAGTCTCAATCACATAACAAGCTTTCACCAAGCTCATAACAATATGATGTTTACGTGTCAGTTGTTTGTCACATTTTTAATGCTAAGAAATGAAAGGTGAAGTAGGATCAACACGAGAGAAATCTGAGGGCAAAGCTCAATAGTGATAGTTTGAAACCTTGTATAGTTCATGCTATAAATAAATTGTCATCTCTGACTAGCTTATGCTCATATAAATGTGTTAGTCTCTAAGGTGCAACAAGTTCTCCTTTTTTTTTTTTTTTTTTTTTGGAGATGAATGAGTGCATGTTTTAGCTAGACAGATGCTACTTCAGAGTGGCCTCTGCATGTTCCCACATGTAGAATCTAGTCACATAACTGCAAGCTTCTGGAAGTTTTTAGAGAGTGTCTGTTGGAGCCATTCACCTCCTTCCTAATCTTCTCCTTATTCAGGATTCCAAGGATATAAAATGTTAGACCTCAATGTTAGGAAAATATAAAATACCACTAAATGATGCCACTGAATCCTGCATCATAGAGTGTGATCTAGAACAGTAGTCCTCAACCAGGGGTCTGTGGTCTCCTGGGGGGCCACAAGCAGGTTTCAGGGGGTCCACCAAAATAAACTGGGCTTCAGCCCTGGGTGGTGGGACTCAGGGAGGGAGCGCGCGCCACCTCTACCCCCTGTGTCACCTCAGTGGGCCACCCAGCCTGCAGGTCAGCACCAACAAGAAGTTTCACACTAAGTTAAAAAATATATATATTAATTTTTTTATTTCTGTATTCGCAAAAAGAAAAGGAGTACTTGTGGCACCTTAGAGACTAACAAATTTATTTGAGCATAAGCTTTACGAAAGCTTATGCTCAAATAAATTTGTTAGTCTCTAAGGTGCCACAAGTACTCCTTTTCTTTTTGCGAATACAGACTAACACGGCTGCTACTCTGAAACCTGTTATTTTTATATGTATATTATGCTTTTCTTTTTATATTATATATATGTGTGTGTGTAACTGTATAACTATCAATTTAATTCAGCTTTTAATCTATTGGGTATGCAGAAAAACAGTTGTTGTGGCACAGGTGGGTCATGAAGTTTTTATAACATATTGGGGAGTGGGGGGGGCTCAGAAAAGAAAAAGGTTGAGAACCCGTGGTCTAGATAGAACTTGTAGCAAACTGGAACTGTTCTGGAAAACTTAAATAAAATGAGAAGTTACCATAATGCTGTAGAAGGTTTCCTATGAATATGTCAGAGACAAATGCATCTTAGCACTGCATGACCTAAAGAACTTCAAGTATCTTATTTTTGAGCGACATTTTTGGAGAGAGAGACTGACTGTTGAAAACCTTACAAAAGCAATGCCTTCTCCAAAATAGGAACTGGCCTCAGAATAAAAGCAATTTTTCAAATAAAAATTGCTTCTTAAATTCATATTAAATATGTAATATAAAGTATATGTCAGCATATTTATGCTACAAGACCATTGAATTTAAAGCCACTATTGAGTCATTTTGATCATTTATTTATTTAGAACATGGAGGCAGGACTTTCAGAGATGAGAAATGAGTTGCAGTCACGTGATGCCCTCTGGAGAGGGATGGAAGCAGAATTCCAGCAGTTGCGTAAAGAATTATTGAAAATTGGAGAATGTAAAAACATCCAAGAAAATCAAATGAAGTATGTATTTGAAAGACATCATTTACATTGTAAAGAATTTGTGAGCTAAATAACTTTTTTCTTCCCTTTGGTTTATATTGGGTTTTTTTAAAAGATCTTGTAGATTAGAAAATCAAATTCATGTTTGAATTAATATTTTAGTAATTTTATTTTATGAGATTGTAATCAATAGCTAGACACACAGTTAAACAGTTTTCATGATGCCTAATTGTTTAAAATATGTTTTATATGGCTTTATATGCTCATTTGATTAAAGGAAAACCTTTCCTTTGGTCTAGGTACTCTAACACAGTTTAAAAAAATACATTGATTAAAAAAACAAGACTCTCTAACACTCCCACCCCTTGATAACAATTTGTATGATTTTTACAGCTAGGCTAGTAAATGTTTTTTGCTGTAGCCATGTGGCATTATATGGCATGTGGTTCACAAGTGATTTCAGGATTCTTTCAGCAGACAGATGGTTCATAGATCTACTAAGCTCCACCCTGGTTTAGGTGACCAAATCTCCTGCCTTTTCCATAAGAGGGTAGCCCTTCCCTGATTGAATGGTGAGGCGAAAACTTCTGTAAGCTGTGGCTCATGGCATTGTCTGCCCACTTCATGGGTTTTTCTTATGTAGGAAACAATTTGACTCTCAATAATTATTATTAATGCTTTTTTATTTAAAGGCTTCAATCAGCCTATGCACAATGTATTCAGGAACTGGAAGACAAAAAAGCGGACCTATTAAAGTTAGAACAACACCAGGAAAGTCAGCAAAAAGAGCTAAACAAGGTATTCCACATTTGTAAATATTTTGAAATCTTAGTTGTAATAGAGTTTTTTTTTTTTTTAAGTATTAAGGCAAAATCATGACCTTGCTTATATAAATACACCAAAGTGCATAGGAGAATAGCTGCATTTTCACAGGTAGGAAGGAAGCTTATGTGTGTACTGTGTTCCCAGAAGGAATAGGACAGCTGTACACTCAACACTATTGTGCACTGGGCAAACACTAGAACTGGGCGCAACATGCAAATAGAGGCAGAGACCCATGTAAAAGGGGCACAGTCATGGAAATAACTCCCCTACACAGACCATTTAGGCCGAAACATAAGCTGCACTGGCTGAACAGTTGGAGCAAGTTAGCATGGGCACCTTGGAATACAATACACATAACACAGCTCAGTGCAGGGCTTCTTTGGTTGAACTGTTTTCAGAGTAGCAGCCATGTTAGTCTGTATCCGCAAAAAGAAAAGGAGGACTTGTGGCACCTTAGAGACTAACAAATTTATTTGAGCATAAGCTTTGGTGAGCTACAACCATACTTCTCGTACAGGACCCTGGTGAGGTCAGTGTAGCAGTGGCATGAGGTGACATATGGCTTGGTGGGTCACTATACAAAAAATGGCTGTGTTACTCTCTCTGGTGTGTAGGGGATGCCCTGCCCTTTCTTCACACATACAGCTTACGCTATGACCAGGGATGTGAGCAGCAGCATCTGCAACTGGGAGCAGCCTACGTGGCTGCTGAAGCAGATTTATAGTGACTTTGACATGAGGTCATGATCTATCCCTCAGATGTTTATATCTAAATTTAATTGCTTTAAAATGTTTATATTTTTGTAATAAAGTGAAAATATCATCAACTATTGATCATATTCATTATTATGGGAAACTAATTAAAACAAATTCAGATGTAGTTTGGCTGGTTTTTGTTCTTGCTCCTAGGTAATATGAGACTCTTCTGGTGTTGCATTATTTGTTACTGGCAGAAGGATAATGTGACCCACAATCTCTTTATAGACACTCTGGAGTACGAGACAGAGGAAGGTTTTGCAGAAAATATTATTTTAAATGTTATGTATTATAGCAGCAGTAGCTGTCATAAAGTGACTTTGGTGGCAAATTTTTATTCTGTGATAGCTAATACTAATAAGAGCCCTGTTCCATAATACTGTATAAGCTCTTTATTTTTGTGATTATTTCTCATAAAGAACTTCTGTGGGTTCATTTTGAGTTAAATGAGTGCTTTTAAGACAGCCTAAACTAATTTAGAGGTAAGGTAAATACATCTTAGTAAGTAATACTTTTCAATAGATTTATTTTGTCTTAAGGTATAATTATTAAAATTAATATTTTTATAAACCCTATGCTTATTGTTTGTTTGTTGTTGTGAATTTAAATATTATTACCACTTTTGACATCAGGGAAATAGACAAATGAACTAAAGAATAAATTATGGATTGTGAAAAGATGCTGAATAAAGAAAAAAGTTAATTGCATTGAATCATAAAGACAGTTTATTTTAAAATTGCCTTAAAATAGCTGATATTTAGAAGAGTTGGTGTACTGGAATAGGGGAGGAAAAATCACTAGTAGTTGATAAGCAATGTGATCTTATATACTGCATAAACATTGTCTTTTGGGAACATATTTGCTACAGATAAGGGACCATCTTTATCAAGAGAAGCAGTCCCATAGCTCTGAGCAGGAAAGAATGAGGACAGAAATCTCTGACCTGACAGAAGAGCTTCATCAGAAGGAGATCACTATAGCAACTATCATGGAGAAAGCTACTCTTCTGGAAAGAAAGTTAAAAATGGAGTTAGAGATAAAAGAAAAATTGTTAGCAAAACAACAGGTAAGCAAGCAAGCAAAAAAAAAAAAAAAAAAAAAAAAGACTAGGTCATTCTCCAGTACATATCAGTACTGATAATGACATATATTGCTTAAAAAAAAAAAAAAAAAAAATTACATCTTGTGCTTTAGTTTTCATCGGCCTGCTATTATATTCAAGCTTTATGAAATAATAATACGAAAATAAAGCGAAATGGTGCCAGAACAATAAAGGACCAGTAAATGTCATTTGTGCAACATCTAACTTTAACATATGGTCCCATTTAGATCATCAGTACTGTAGTTACATTTAAGCACATAGAAGATCTTGAAAAATTCTAAGTTGGTTTTATTATGCCTACTACATCATTAAAATTGTTCATTAGATTATCCAGAAAATTTGTTTAATTTTGACAGCTCTTTTTAACCTGTTGATTAAAGAATGTTTATGAAATTGTTTGGAGAAGCCTGTCAGTTGTAAAGCTCGATTGTTAATCTTGCAGTATTGTAAATCATTGTAAACTTCAGTTTTAAAAACAAATAAGCTCCATCCCTTACTCACATATTTGAAAACATCTGGGTAGCAGAAACACAATTTACCCAAACCCTTGAAATTTAGAGGTGCTCATTTCTGCTTATGTTGGGAATTTAATGCTTCTTGTATTCAAGAAAAGCTTTCACTATATTAGTGTCATGATTCTTTATGAATGTTTTGAGTAAAGCATAAAATTAAACTTCTACAGAACTATACTGAATATTTTATAGCTAATATTGTTAAGTTCAACTAGGAATTTAATTTTTCCCCAGTTGTCAGAGATGAGGTATGAAGCTATCAGATCGGAAAACACACATTTGAAGAAGATGATAGAAAATTTGGAGTCTAGAAGATACATGGTAATTTTTGTAGCTGTAAAATATACAAAGCAGTTATTTATGTTTGCTGATGTAATGATCTCGGGGTTAATTAAATAACAAACCAGTGAATGAGAAAGGAATAAGACTTTAATAAAAGAAACTGGAGAGCTTCTACACACAGCCATGCGGTGTTCCCAACCCTGGCCTCTAGGGAAAAACTCCAAATTCCTACACTAACAACATTGTCTCTTATGAGGGAACATCTCCAAATCACAATCTTTCATAAATATTGTGAAAGTTTGTCCCTCTTTGGTGCCCCCTGATGTGCTGAGATACCACTGAGCCTGTCTGTTATGCCAATCTGGGCACCCTTTGTACTTGTCTTGCTGAGCCAAGCTATTAAGCTTCCTCCAGCACATGGGGTTATGTTATAAACAAGAAATAAGTTTATTAACTACAAAAGGTGAATTTTAAGTGAATATAAAAGATAACAGACAGAACAAAGTAGATTACTGAGCAAATAAACCGAAGTACGCAAACTAAGCTCAATTTACTTAGGAGAATCATAGAATATTAGGGTTGGAAGAGACCTCAGGAGGTCATCTAGTCCAATCCCCTGCTCAAAGCAGGACTCACACCAACTAAATCATCCCAACCAGGGCTTTGTCAAGCCAGGCCTTCAAAACCTCTAAGGATGAAGATTCCACCACCTCCCTAGGTAACGCATTCCAGTGCTTCAGCACCCTCTTAGTGAAATAGTGTTTCCTAATATCCAACCTAGACCTCCCCCACTGCAACTTGAGACCATTGCTTCTTGTTCTGTCATCTGCCACCACCGAGAACTGCCTAGCTCCATCCTCTTTGGAACCCCCTTCAGGTAGTTGAAGGTTGCTATCAAATCCCCCCTCACTCTTCTCTTCTTCAGACTAAATAACTGCAGTTCCCTCAGTCTCTCCTTGTAAGACAATTACAAAATGTAATTTCTTACCCTAAATGTTATTTTAGGCAGGTTGCAAAGTTTCTGTGGTTCAGGGTTCCAGTTATATTTCTTTTCAGACTGGACCCCTGTCTCAGTCTGGACTTTCTCCCTGCCTCCCCTTCAAGTGGCTTTAGCGGTCTTTCTTCTTGGGCACACAGGCCATGAAGAGGAGTCCCGTTTGCCTTCCTCCCCACCCTTAAATAGGATTGACATAAGGCGGGTATCCTTTGTTTCCCAAACTTGACCCCCCCCCCCCCCCCCCTTCCTTCCTTCCAGTGGAACCTTACAAGAAGTCCCAGGTAATGTTTAGTATCAGGTGACAAGATCACCTGACCTAGTAGTGTCACAGTTATGTCCCCAAACACCTCCAGGAGGGAGAGAGATTAGTATCTTCATGGTTTTGTTGTTCCTTCCTGATAGCTCATCAAATTTGATGGCCTGTTGTCTGGTGGGTGTCTTCCCAATACACACCCAGTTGTAATCGTTACATAGTCCAGATTTCTAATTTTAGATACAGAAATGATACATGCATACAAATTGGATAATCACATTCAGTAAATTATAACCTTTCCAATTGTATCGTACAAGATCCATCTTGCATAAAGTACATCTCCATTTATCATATCCATAACATAAGCATATTTCCAAAAATTCTAAGGCATTCTAATTTAGCTTAATGGAGCTTCCCAACCATTATAAATATAAATATGTAGGTGCCTATATTGTATCTCATTCATACACTTTTATTTTAAACATTTATCAGTGAAATCTATAGACCTTTTTTCCCCTTTAAGAACCAGATGAATTTATTCATTAGTAGAAAACAAACATTATTTGCAACTTTAATTACTAACATTATGACAAACTATGCATAAAAAGCTGCTTATTTTGAAGTATTTCCTTCATGGATTTTCATTTGTGTTACATAAGAGCCCAATTCTTTGACGTACTAAGCACCTCCAGTAGAATTCAGAGCTTCCTCAAAGTATGTGGAAGTTAATGGGGGTTAAAGATGCTCAAAACTATGAAGAAGATGCCCAGCATTTTGCAGATATTAGCCTTTAACTAGTTAGCCCTTCTGCACCTTTCCAATTCTTCTAACGCCAAAAATCTGACAGCTTCTTTTTTGTACTTGTTGAAATTTTGGTTGAATCAGTGAGCTTTTGGACCTGCCAAACTAATTCATTTTACAGTAGCTTTTATAATGACAGTCTTTCAAAGTCACCTCTGAGGGTAGTGTTGGAATTGGATTTCAATCTCTAAACTCAGTTACCATTTTTTTTTCTATTGCATCTTTTTGAACTCCAGGGAAGCCTATTTGTTTATAAACAAATGTCTAAGAAGACGTCTCCAGATTTTTTATCAATAGTCTGACATGTCTTTCTAGATGTTTTGCCTTTGACACCAATGTATTGCTACTATATATAGTGTTTAAACGAATAGTCTGATAATGCCTTTGTGTATTTTTTCTTATTATTCTTTAGTGGAAATATTACTTGAGGAAGAAATATAGTTAAATCAACTGCAAGCTTTGGCAGCTAAGGACTGCTTTCATAGCTTAGTTTTTCAAGGAGAGTAATTCAAATACACCAAACAATTTTACTACTCTACTGCCTTGAATGCATTGTTTGTGGAAAAATTCTAATTTAATTTTATTGTGTTTCAAAGGCTATTATTCCCTCTATCCCATTTATGTAGTTCTTTTTCTCTAGAAGCATTTCTACCGGTGTATCATTTACTATGAATGCTGTTTCAGGGTAGCAGCCGTGTTAGTCTGTATCCGCAAAAAGAAAAGAAGTACTTGTGGCACCTTAGAGACTAACAAATTTATTTGAGCATAAGCTTTTGTGAGCTACAGCTCACTTCATTGGATGCATGCAGTGGAAAATACAGTAGGACGATTTTATATACACAGAGAACATGAAACAATGGGTGTTACCATACACACTGTAACGAGAGTGATCAGGTAAGGTGAGCTTTTACCAGCAGGAGAGAAAAAAAACCTTTTGTAGTGATAATCAAGATGGGCCATTTCCAGCAGTTGACAAGAATGTGTGAGGAACAGTAGGGGGGAAAAATAAACCTGGGGAAATAGTTTTACTTTGTGTAATGACACATCCACTCCCAGTCTTTATTCAAGCCTAATTTAATGGTGTCGAGTTTGCAAATTAATTCCAATTCAGCAGTCTCTCATTGGAGTCTGTTTTTGAAGTTTTTTTTTTTTTGTAATATTGCGACTTTTAGATCTGTAATCAAGTGACCAGAGAGATTGAAGTGTTCTCTGACTGGTTTTTGAATGTTGCAATTCTTGACATCCGATTTGTGTCCATTTATTCTTTTACGTAGAGAGTCTCGACTGTCCGGTTTGGCCAATGTACATGGCAGAGGGGCATTGCTGGCACATGATGGCATATATCACATTTGTAGTGGGACTGGGAGTGGATGTGTCATTACACAAAGTAAAACTATTTCCCCATGTTTATTTTTCCCCCCTACTGTTCCTCACACATTCTTCTCAACTGCTGGAAATGGCCCATCTTGATTATCACTACAAAAGGTTTTTTTTTCTCTCCTGCTGGTAATAGCTCACCTTAACTGATCACTCTCATTATAGTGTGTATGGTAACACCCATTGTTTCATGTTCTCTGTGTATATAAAATCGTCCTACTGTATTTTCCACTGCATGCATCCGATGAAGTGGGCTGTAGCCCATGAAAGCTTATCATTCTTGACGTCTGATTTGTGTCCATTTATTCTTTTACGTAGAGACTGTCCGGTTTGGCCAATGTACATGGCAGAGGTGCATTGCTGGCACATGATGGCATATATCACAAGTACTCCTTTTCTTTTTGTGAATGCTGTGTGATTACATATGGTAACTAAGTATTTAGCAAACAGTGTTGCCTTGTGTTTCATGTTAAAAAATATTAATTCTAGTTACAGTGAAAAAATGCCCATTTAATGATGATTTTATTTTCTTCCACAGACCATAGATTTATCTGACACAGAACATGAGAGTTACACAGCTTCCATTCATGAACTGGAGTGTGAGAATGAAAGGTTACGAAATAATCTTGGTAAATTGCAGAGTGATTCAGAAACATCAATATTGGCTACTCTGGATAGATATGGAGAAACAAAGCACACTAAGCAAATCCAATTAGAAATGCAAGAAAAGGAAGAGAGGTAAAATTTAAGTTGCAAAGATACATTAATTTTTCCATAAGCGTTTCGTAAGCATCTTTTAAAAGAATCAAATCCTGAAGTCCTTACTCCATTTTTGTTAATTTAAAACTCCTACTACCTCAATAGACATTTAGTCCAATTAGCAAGCAAGTAAGGCTGCAGAATTTGGCCAGAATTTAAATTATTAAAACATCTGTTTATTATTTATAGATTATTTTTGTGCTGTTTCTTCTCAAATCAGTAAAAATTTTGAAGATAACAAAGTACATTGGCACCTAATACTGGAGACCCATGGAAGCCAGTGGGAATTTGCAACTGTTTAATATTGCAGAATTGTACCCAATGGATATAAACTCTGGTTTCTGACTTGCAGGCAATATTACAATATAATAACATCGGAAATCTGATATTATAAATTTAGCAATAAATCAGGACTATAATTATAATTTTAGTGTTGACATCTGCTCTTATACAAAAAATTCTCATTTTTGTTTGTCCACTGGTTATGGTGCAGGAACTCCAGTGTGTGCGAGGGTGCCTAACTGAAGAGAATAGAGGAAATTTGCAAGACAATATAGGACTACATCTAATTTTCATATACATTTATATTAATTTTATTATCAAAATATACACAACCATAATTTGTGTTTGCCCTCAATCTTCCTTGATAATATACTAATAGAAATATTTTTTGTTTGTTCTGAGCAATAAAAATTGGCAGTTTATCAGTTTTGTCTTCACCCTGCAGTCACAGAGATAAGTTAGTCAGGAACACATTTTTATGACTCCAGGGGATACCTCTGAACTCTGACACTGACCTGTGCATCTTATGTTGTTCAAATATGAGGGGAAATTATGGTTCCATTTACTTATTTAGATGTGTATACACACTAAAAAAGAGCAAATATCCATGTGTTATGGGCACCCAGAACATAACTGAAATGTATATCTATCTATCTATAAAAATACTGAAACATATCTAAAGTACAGCAGTACAATTCAGTATGGCCCACTACCAGCAAATCAAGGAATTCAAAAGCTTAAATCGCCCTCCAACAATTCCCCACTCTGACATTTCCTCCCCCAATTTTGAATTCCTGTGAAAAGATGAGCTTTTCAGAATGCCCTGAACATCTTCAAGTTCAGGCTACTTGGGCCAAAACCTTTCATCCCAAACTATTTGCCCAACAAAAAAACAAAAATATACATGTAATGGTGGAGCACCCCCTTATGGCCAGGGATTGCTTTACAAGAACCTTCTCCCTATTAGCCCCCTCTTGCAAGCCCCTTTAAGCACTACACACTGTCTTAGTTGTAGCTTACAACACCCCTTTCTGGGTTTGGTTTAATATCAAATAAAGTTCACACAATCCTCACAGTCCTTAATCACAATGAATCCCACACATAAAGTCCATAACTGTAATTTAACAGTTCATACTTAGCTCCCATTCTTGAGCCACACCCAAAGCTCTTCCTCTGTCAATCTGCTCCACCCAAATCCAAAGTAATCCTGTCTGGGTGGAGCTCACTCTTTTGGCCCGGGCTTCCCTCTGCATCAGTATCTCCCTTCATCTGACACAGAATGCAATCTATATATTGCCCTCCTCGAGAGAGCTCCTCCTGATTGGCTGGAAGAGAGGCGAGCCCTGCCCCGTCAGACATTACAGAGCTCCTGATCCTAGACCACTAAAGGAACTGTGTTCAAGGGTTTTTCCCACCTTATGCAACTCCTAATATCATTTTCTGGGTCCATTTTTCATTCTAACACCTGAAACCAGGTCTTCTGGCCCCCGTATTCTTAAAGGGCTAGTATGCCCTGTTACATTACAGGAATCACATCACCATTAAAGTAAAATGCAGCCATCATTAGGATGACAGGATGGCAGCCAAAGGGCAGCCACCATATAGTATTTTGCACAACAGTGGACATAGCTGAAAATGCACCAAAGGAAATTCTTTTCTCTTAGAGAGTACCATGGGATTATTATTAATTATTATTGATGTAATGCTTCTGCTAGGTGACATCGACAGCACCAAGGGTCTGTTCCATATCTAGGGGTTTCTCTTAACATTACAAAAACCAAATTGTCTCGGGCCTCCATCCAGAAATCTAGAAAAACTAAACGCCACCCCTGGGTGCCTCTAAGAGGCAATGTTTCCCCACTTGCAAGCACTGAGTCTGTGGATAACAAAAGAAAACTTTATTAAAAGCAGAGGGATACATAGCATTAACTTGGGAAAGCACCACCACAACAACTCAGAAGTAAGTAAACAATAAGTAAAGTAACTAATTAAAGTACCCTCCCCACAGGATCTTGGGCAGCAGTCCTTTGCCTCAGTTTCCCACCTTGTAATGTGAAAATCCAATGAATGAATATCCCTTAAACATACCACTTCCTTTTTCCCTCCACTGGACCCCACTGATGGTTTGTTGTCTGAGGTTAGTGAAGTGCCACAGTCTAGGGGTGAATTCAGGTGGGACAACCTCCCAGCCCACCGTTGAGGGTTGGCAGAGTGATGCTGTTGACTCTGCTCACCGCTGTTGCTGCCACCTCTGTCGCTACTTGCAGTCATTGCTTCCTCTTGCTTCTTGCCAGCATTGCAGTCACTGGCACTGTTTGCCACTGTCACTCCACCAGTCCATTTGTAATTTCAGCTCTTACTGATTTCACAGGGTAGCAGGCAACTTCACTGATACTGCCTCGTATGCATTATATTTTGTCACAATACTGGCCACACCATGAGGTCTAAGGCTCAGGGCCTACCCCAGCTTATCAGAAACTTCAGCTCTAGCAATCACACAGAAGAAAGAAGGATTCACAACTGAGTCTGATCAGCTCTGTCTAAACACTGGAGAAGGAAGGTCAAATGGTTTTAGTACCCTTTAAATAAGTCCACACAACCAGATAAAAACACCTGTCCACAGCCATCTCTTTCACTTGGATTTGGCATCACTACCACTCACTTAGCGAGTTAATTTAGGGTGATCCTCCTCAATTAAGGCATATTAAATATAGTTCTACTGCTCTTTACTCATACAAGAAGGATAATGATAATACATTACCCCTACATCCAAGACTAAAGTGAATTTTAACCCAGACCAGCCAAAACTGATCACTTGGCAAAGCAGGCTAGTCTGCTGATCACCTAGGTAAAGTAGGTGTGTCTTTGAAAATAAGGTCTTCTCCTGAAGTCTTTCCCCCCAGTTCATCAATTGATGGCAGGGGAGAGCTCATTCAGACAACTACGTTTAGATTGTGATAGCACCTAGGAGCTCCAGTCATGGCTATGCCCCCCTTGTGTTAGGCACTGTACAAACACAGAACAAAACCATGGTCCTTGCCCCAAAGAGTTTACACTCTAAAGATCTTCAGTGACAGGCAGACCAGACAAGAGCACAGTTTTTAAGGATTCAGCAGAAAAACCCACACAAATTAAACTCTATAAAACTCAGTTTATGCTTATCAGCTGGTTGAAGAGCTGTATTTATATTCCTTGAATTTTAGTCTTAGTGAGTCTGTTTTTTTCTAACTTGAAGCTTAGAGGAAAATTGTGGCTTTGAGTGCTCTGGAATGCTGTGGTATTGGAGCACTTTGTGTGTTTTAGAAGGAAGCATAACTATGGTGGTCACAATGCCTCCAGGGGCATTGGAGGAGCCTGATGAGGAAAGATGTGGTCTCCTCTGCCTATATTCTTATGCTGACACCAACGAGACTACTCCCATACTTACAGTTAAGCAAGTGCTTAAATGCTTTGCTGGACTGAGGCCAGAGTATATAGTGCCATGTGAGATCATAATGAGGAAGTATATTCTTTGTGCAGGTAATGATGTACTTTGTCGAACCCATTACCATAATTTGTAAGAGGAGTCTTTTTGTGTCTTTTAAATGTAACAGTTGAATTACACAGTTTGTGTACTTCTAGCAAGCAGCACAGACTAAATAGTGCTTTTCCCCCACCAAAAAGTAGCATAAACTGAGATTAACACCACACAGCTAATTATAACCCAAAGAACCAAGGAGAAACAAACAAACAAACAATTACCAGCCCAACCATTGCTGATTTTGTTAGGAGACTCAAAATCCTGCTCACTCTATACAAACAGTCCAATGTCTATACAATCATAAAATCTTACTGGGGAAGTTAACTGTCTATATGTTGCAAAGTTCATTCATTGATTAAATCCTCATATCCATATTATTTTATTATCTTTTCACTTTCTCTATAACTTTTTTCATGTGTAACAGCATAGTTTGAAAATATAACATTTTTGAGTCTGTATGTGACTCATCTCTGCCAAATGGAAACTATTGTGTTGTTTCATTGTTCTGTAAAGGGCTCTTTGTATTGGTATCCTTTTCTTCAACTGTGTGGCTCGAATAACGGGAGCAAGATCTGAAGTGAATGACTATTAAACGTATGAAGCTTGTCATGGTCTTACCTTAGTTTACTAAGATAGGCAGAGACGGGCTCCACCTAACGAAGAGAGGGAAGAGCATCTTCACAAGCAGGCTGACTAACCTAGTGAGGAGGGCTTTAAACTAGGTTCACTGGGGGAAGGAGATCAAAGCCCTGAGGTAAGTGGGGAAGTGGGATACCGGGAGGAAGCACGAGCAGGAGTGCGTGAGAGGGGAGGGCTCCTGCCTCATACTGAGAAAGAGGGGCAATCAGCGGGTTATCTCAAGTGCCTATACACAAATGCAAGAAGCCTGGGAAACAAGCAGGGAGAACTGGAAGTCCTGACAAAGTCAAGGACAAAGTGATTGGAATAACAGAGACTTGGTGGGATAACTCACATGACTGGAGTACTGTCATGGATGGATATAAGCTGTTCAGGAAGGACAGGCAGGGCAGAAAAGGTGGGGGAGTTGCATTGTATGTAAGAGAGCAGTATGACTGCTCAGAGCTCAAGTATGAAACTGCAGAAAAACCTGAGAGTCTCTGGATTAAGTTTAGAAGTGTGAGCAACAAGGGTGATGTCGTGGTGGGAGTCAACTATAGACCACCGGACCAGGGGGATGAGGCGGACGAGGCTTTCTTCCGGCAACTTGCAGAAGTTACTAGATCGCCTGCCCAGGTTCTCATGGGAGACTTCAATCACCCTGATATCTGCTGGGAGAGCAATACAGCGGTGCACAGGCAATCCAGGAAGTTTTTGGAAAATGTAGGGGACAATTTCCTGGTGCAAGTGCTGGAGGAACCAACTAGGGGCAGAGCTCTTCTTGAGCTGCTGCTCACAAACCGGGAAGAATTAGTAGGGGAAGCAAAAGTGGATGGGAACCTGGGAGGCAGTGACCATGAGATAGTCAAGTTCAGGATCCTGACACAAGGAAGAAAGGAAAGCAGCAGAATACGTACCCTGGACTTCAGAAAAGCAAACTTTGACTCCCTCAGGGAGCTGATGGGCAAGATCCCCTGGGAGAATAACATGAGGGGGAAAGGAGTCCAGGAGAGCTGGCTGTATTTTCAAGAATCCTTATTGAAGTAACAGGGACAAACCATCCCGATGAGTAGAAAGAATAGTAAATATGGCAGGCGACCGGCTTGGCTTAACAGTGAAATCCTTGCTGATCTTAAATACAAAAAAGAAGCTTACAAGAAGTGGAAGATTGGACAAATGACCAGGGAAGAGTATAAAAATATTGCTCGGGCATGCAGGAGTGAAATCAGGAAGGCCAAATCACACCTGGAGTTGCAGCTAGCAAGAGATGTTAAGAGTAACAAGAAGGGTTTCTTCAGATATGTTAGCAACAAGAAGAAAGTCAAGGAAAGTGTGGGCCCCTTACTGAATGAGGGAGGCAACCTAGTGACAGAGGATGTGCAAAAAAGCTAATGTATTCAATGCTTTTTTTGCCTCTGTCTTCACGAACAAGGTCAGCTCCCAGACTACTGCACTGGGCAGCACAGCATGGGGAGGAGGTGACCAGCCCTCTGTGGAGAAAGAAGTGGTTCGGGACTATTTAGAAAAGTTGGACGTGCACAAGTCCATGGGGCCGGATGCGTTGCATCCGAGAGTGCTAAAGGAGTTGGCGGATGTGATTGCAGAGCCATTGGCCATTATCTTTGAAAACTCATGGCTATCGGGGGAGGTCCCGGATGACTGGAAAAAGGCTAATGTAGTGCCCATCTTTAAAAAAGGGAAGAAGGAGGATCCTGGGAACTACAGGCCAGTCAGCCTCACCTCAGTCCCTGGAAAAATCATGGAGCAGGTCCTCAAGGAATCAATTCTGAAGCACTTAGAGGAGAGGAGAGTGATCAGGAACAGTGAGCATGGATTCACCAAGGGCAAGTCATGCCTGACTAATCTAATTCTATGATGAGATAACTGGCTCTGTGGATGAAGGGAAAGCAGTGGACGTGTTGTTCCTTGACTTTAGCAAAGCTTTTGACCTGGTCTCCCACAGTATTCTTGCCAGCAAGTTAAAGAAGTATGGGCCGGATGAATGGACTATAAGGTGGATAGAAAGCTGGCTAGATTGTCGGGCTCAACTGGTAGTGATCAATGGCTCCATGTCTAGTTGGCAGCTGGTATCAAGTGGAGTGCCCCAAAGGTCAGTCCTGGGGCCGGTTTTATTCAATATCTTCATAAATGATCTGGAGGATGGTCTGGATTGCACCCTCAGCAAGTTTGCAGATGACACTAAACTAGGAGGAGAGGTAGATACGCTGGAGGGTAGGGATGGGATACAGAGAGACCTAGACAAATTGGAGGATTGGGCCAAAAGAAATCTGATGAAGTTCAACAAGGACAAGTGCAGAGTCCTGCACTTAGGAAGGAAGAATCCAATGCACCGCTACAGACTAGGGACCGAATGGCTCGGCAGCAGTTCTGCAGAAAAGGACCTAGGGGTTACAGTGGACGAGAAGCTGGATATGAGTCAACAGTGTGCCCTTGTTGCCAAGAAGGCCAATGGCATTTTGGAATGTATAAGTAGGGACATAGCCAGCAGATCGAGGGACGTGATCGTTCCCCTCTATTCGACACTGGTGAGGCCTCATCTGGAGTACTGTGTCCAGTTTTGCGCCCCACACTACAAGAAGGATGTGGAAAAATTGGAAAGAGTCCAGCAGAGGACAACAAAAATGATGAGGGGACTGGAACACATGACTTATGAGGAGAGGCTGAGGGAACCGGGGATGTTTAGTCTACGGAAGAGAAGAATGAGGGGGGATTTGATAGCTGCTTTCAACTACCTGAAAAGAGGTTCCAAAGAGGATGGCTCTAGACTGTTCTCAGTGGTATCAGATGACAGAACAAGGAGTAATGGTCTCAAGTTGCAGTGGGGGAGATTTAGGTTGGATATTAGGAAAAACTTTTTCACTAGGAGAGTGGTGAAACACTGGAATGCGTTACCTAGGGAGGTGGTGGAATCTCCTTCCTTAGAAGTTTTTAAGGTCAGGCTTGACAAAGCCCTGGCTGGGATGATTTAATTGGGGATCGGTCCTGCTTTGAGCAGGGGGTTGGACTAGATGGCCTCCAGAGGTGCCTTCCAACCCTGATATTCTATGATTCTATGATACTGTTAGTATCAGTTTTGCGTTTGGCTATTCTTATTAAAAACTGTATTGATAGTCATAAATATTACATTTTGTAACAGGGGCCCAGCTCCATCCTTGTCCCCTGCAGAATTCAGACAGACTCCACTAGGTGTGCTCTTAGTGACACTTTATTTCTATTTCTTTTCACCAATATCACCACAGACCCCGTGCTCCCACCTATTTACAATCTTTGCTGGGCTTTATGGTCGCTGAGATCTTCCTACTCTGGGACCACTGCATTGCCAGGCTCAGCTAGCCCTGTTTCTCCCTCTCTTTCTCCCCACTATTCACCTCCCCCTCTTCTTGTACTTCCTTCCTGTGCCTCTTTTATCAGGGGCCAACTGAATATTTACCCCACCCAGCCCATCACCCTGATTAGATAATTAGTCTTATTCAGCTTTTCCTGGGGCACTAATTAGCCTCCAAGTGATCAGAATATAGGCTTACCTACTTACTCCCTAAAGAAAGACTTTCTTAGTCCTGTTTCAGAGTAGCAGCTGTCTTAGTCTGTATCCGCAAAAAGTCCTTAGAGACTAACAAATTTATTTGAGCATAAGCTTTCGTGGGCTAGAGCCCACTTCATCGGATGCATGCAGTGGAAAATACAGTAAGACGATTTTATATACACAGAGAACATGAAACAATGGGTGTTACATAGACACTGTAACAAGAGTGATCAGTTAAGGTGAGCTATTACCAGCAGGAGAGAAAAAAAAACCTTTTGTAGTGATAATCAAGATGGGCCATTTCCAGCAGTTGATTATCACTACAAAATGGTTGCCCCCCCCCCCCCCCACCGGTAATAGCTCACCTTAACTGATCACTCTCATTACAGTGTGTTTGGTAACAACTATTGTTTCGTGTTCTCTGTGTATATAAAGTCATCCTACTGTATTTTCCACTGCATGCATCCGATGAAGTGGGCTGTAGCCCATGAAAGCTTATGCTCAAATAAATTTGTTAGTCTCTAAGGTGGCACAAGTACTCCTGTTTTTTTACTATGCTGTATGATTCATATGTCAACATACATTACTGTACCAAGTAGCTAGCAGGACCTGGATCTAAAATATTAAAATAACCTATAGCTCTCCAGCTGCAAAACACCCATATTTATTTGTCAAATAAAGGTCATGTTAACAACAATTCTCTCCTTTCCCACACCTCACACAATTCTTCATCCCCTCAAACATTTAGAAAGCTCTGCTGAGATCCTTTACATATCATACACTAATGTTTTACTCTTCTTTCATTAAAATCATAATGCAAGACATTGGTTGGGGAGTATCAGAGTTGCTAAATTACTTTTGAATTTATTCTAACATATTAATATGGATACAAATTTTGCATGAAACATTTTACATACATTTTTGTTTTTTCTAAAAGACAGCCTTTTACAAATGCAATATAGAGTAAATGTTTATTAGTAATGGAGAGTGACAATATTCTAGTAGTTTTCCATTAAGTAGCTATTCTAGACAAAATCAGTGGACCTGATTCTGACAACAATCATACCAGTATAAACCAGGAGTAAAACCTTAGTCAATGGAGTTAGGGTGGTGGAAAACCAGTATGAGTAAAATCAGAATCTGACCTAATAGGTATTTAAATTAGAGCTGCCAATTAATCACAGTTAACTCAATTGATTAATGCAAAATGAATTAACTAGATTTTAAGAATTAGTTGCAATTAATCAAAGTTTTAATCACACTGTTAAACAAGAATAGAATACCAATTTAAATTTATTTTAAATATTTTGGATTTTTTCCACATTTTCAAATATACTGATTTTATTTACAACACAGAATACAAAGTGTTCAGTGCTCACTTTATATTATTACTTTGATTACAAATATTTGTACTATAATAAAGATAAACAAAAGAAATAATATTTTTCAGTTCACCTGAGACAAGTACGATAGTGCAATCTCTTTATCATGAAAGTGCAACTTACAAATGTAGAATTATTATTTTGCTTT